TATACTATGGTGGAAAACAACAAGAAAATACCAGCATGTGAATAGATTCATCGTCCAAACTTCATTTCAATAAAACTAAAGTAAAATATGGACAAAAGAAATATTCATACGGAGGCTAATTGACAAAGTTGAAGGAAGGAGAGTAGAAACAGGTGTTCCTGAAAAGTAGGCGTTTTCTGCTTCATCGATAAACCAGGCATATTAATCTTAGTCAGAATAAGTAATGTCTCAAATGAGAACAAAATATACAACAACAGAACCAACATGCAAAATAACGACCATTAGACACGTAGGACTTCATATCGCGCAAAGAGATAAAATATTACCGTGAAGAATGTAACACTTCATCATCTTTATCAAAGTTCATCTCTCGAAACCCGGTGTTGTAATTTGGTCTGTCAGTTGCTGATATCTTGCATGGAAATTTGGGATATTTGGAACAGACCGTTGATATCGAATCAGTTGGAAATGTAAACACTATAGGTTGGTGATGCAGGATGTGACTAACGAGAAATGGAAAATTCACAGTACGGAAATTGAAATCTTTACCCTTATCAAAAAAAGCTGTTTAAAAGCTTTCCTGAACATATCGCTGTTGACAAAAAACAAAGGCACACGGATGATGTAGGAAAGTCCGTCTTGTAATTGATTTCCATTTCCGGTTAGTATATACGACGGATGTGTTACATCAATCTCTGTGTTCGATAAATTCATCCTCGTATAAAAACAATAAGAAATCAGACAAAATCGGATAGGGTATGGATGGAAATAGTCCGATGGAAGATCTTACGACCGAATTTGACTAAAATATTGTCAACCAGAAACTTGACCGTTTTTATGAAATCGTCCTCTGTATATTTCTTCTTTGATTTGGACAAATGCTTAAAGAAATATTCTTCAGTATAGATCCCCATCATAAACCGCTTTCCTTTCATTGAGAAGAAAACTCTAGTAACAAGAAAGCGAAGGGATTACTTATTCTTATTATGGGGTTTCAAAGAGGGAAAAACCAAATATTATGAAAGAACCACTAAGTTTTCAGAAAAGCTCTCCGATGTTATTTAAAATCCACACAACATTGATTCTTCTTCCTATGAAAAAAATATATCAAAATAACGATTGATGTAACCTGATTTGATTGGTGATTTCTAGGAGGAAGATTCGACAAAGGTTTGTTAGAACAACTAGACAAGCCAGCAATAACTTGTTTTTACTAAAGAAATTTATCGATATATTCCATATTAAGCATCATATTTGCTGATGGGGTTATTTTGCAACAGATCATCCTTAAAAGACAAGAAATAATTATCACTTCGACGGATCACAAAAAATGGAATCTTAACAGTGCGTTATTTTTTACAGATCACTTCAAACCATTTATTAAAGAAGATTATCACCCAACTCTCTGCTGCTATGATCATTAGCTATCAAAAAAGCATCGTAATGGACAGTATTGACACGAAAATAGGAAAAGGGTGTGATAGTGTTAATCTGAAAAACCCTGATCGCTTCAAATACTTTGAATTAAAAACTTAATATGGTACTATTGAGTGGCAGATTGCTACATCTATGGATCGTTTGAAGCAACAAAACATGTTAAGCTGCTGTCTTCTGATTAAAGAAGTTATTGTACAAGTACTGTACATCAAATCTGTAGAATGAGCGGCTCTGTGATTGATGTATTTTATTGTAAATTTTACCTCGTTGACCCTAGTATTCAAACACACATTGTAATGAAAAGGGGAGAATACATGATAATGCTGAGATAAGGAAAAATAGGGAAAAATTTCGCCAGACTATCAGAAAGTATATGAAATATTATTTCTCCGACATCCTTTATAAATATTGATGATAACAATGGTCTCAAATCTCACGATATATCGCAACCATTTTGGACTTCTTTCAAAAGTGTGTTATCTTCTTCAAATAAGATGAGAAAACATTACATTGTTTTCTATGTGTTTATTAACAGTAACCGTAAACCAACTGATCCCGCTTCCAATCTATTTTCGGGACTGAAACCCCTAACACAAAAGTTTAACGCAACGAACGAAGACATTGGTTATACAACGTGTTATTAACCATAACATTATAGAAGTGTCTACATAGACATGTGCGCACTTCATATTAAATCTTATAATTTCTATATCGAATTTATTTTCTCATTGACATTAACAAAAGTACAAACGAATCATTCAAATACACAGTGTCATTACATTTGAATAGTATTGACCGAGAGGTAATTCCTGGTCCCTGTATTTCTCGGGTTCTCATATAATCAGTTTTATAAGTACTGACCGAGAGGTAATTCCTGGTCCCTGTATTTCTCGGGTTCTCGTATAATCAGTTTTAATAGTATTGACCGAGAGGTAATTCCTGGTCCCTGTATTTCTCGGGTTCTCGTATAATCAGTTTTAATAGTACTGACCGAGAGGTAATTCCTGGTCCCTGTATTTCTCGGGTTCTCGTATAATCAGTTTTAATAGTATTGACCGAGAGGTGATTCCTGGTCCCTGTATTTCTCGGGTTCTCATATAATCAGTTTTATTAGTACTGGTCATATCCTGCTCTGTTGTATCTGCCGGATATTCGATATATAAGATATACATACACAGTGTTTTACAAAACATAACATTTACGGTAACGAAGACGACATTTCAAGCATGTTATTGGATCTATTATGGTAAAACAGTGTTTTCTCACAGTAGGAAGAACGATAACTCGTAAATCAGTGTGACGTTTATGAAAGGATAACCTTATCATTCGTCACGTTTTTCATGGTTTGCTCTTTGTTTGCACAAATATTTTGGGTGGTAAATTTCTCAATGTGCATGAATCAAAACCAAACATCCACCAGATATGAAATCGTTTACAACAACTATCTTCGATTTTTTTTCTTTTTTTATTGAACGGCGTAAATCACCTGTATGTCTGTTATATATATCATTGGTTATCGTCAAGTAGAAAAATATCATACATTTAAACTGTTCAATACAACAATTTCAATTTTTATTGATAACTCTATTTCGAAAACAATAATATCAATAGATGACTTTTTTTTATTTATGATACATATAATGTAGTTTATGAAATCAATGAAACCCTTAAAGATTAATTTTCATTAAAAGTTGTGAGTTCTCCTATCAAACATCAAAACCTCATCAGTATCATAAACAATAAATTTTGCTCAGATACATGTTTGTGAATTGTCTCCAGTTTACACCTGCCAATTTTTTCCCTTACAATTTACACCTGTGTTGCACGTGCTGTCATAATCACCGGGCGTGCTCGATTGACACTTTTATCAGTGCTTTCTAACATAAGATGTACTGTATGTTATCGGATCACCTGTGCTGTGTATGGACAAGTACGTATCTTAACGATATCGATAATTAACAGGTGAAAACGACGGTGACGTTGCTTCCTTAAGAGAGTATCGGGTGCTTATTGGTTGAAATTACGTCCTATATTTACTAATTACGGAGATTCAATCGTGGTATATAAATAGATCAAACGTGGCTATGATAACGGGTAGTCTCTGTCGATATCGGAAGAATGTTTGTTTGTGTTTCATTCATACAATTGTTTAGAACTGCAATGATATGTATGCTGAATACTACTCAGATAATTACATAGCAAGAAAGATAACTCCTACGCGTGAACGAAACAAGTGAGACTTTAAATATATCACTGAAATGAGGGCATCGAGTCATAAACAATTTTATTTAGAAATGGTATAATAAATTTAATCTGACAAAATCGATAGATAAATTACATTTCAGGCTAATTAAGAATTTATCTTAATTAATTATTTAGCTCTACTGAAATATACTCGTCTTTTTTGTCTCTTGTACAGTCTACAATAACCTAAATAAATTGCATTGTAAATGTTGAAAATGAAATGTACAAAAATGAAGAATTAAATAAAACAGAAGTTTTATTATCAACAGATTATGATAAAGCTATAACATACTTTATTTACATATAATATGTATGTGTGTGTGTATATATATATGGGAAATAATTGGCTACAAAAATTCAAAAGGGAAATTGAATTTCGAATAGGTTGTTGTCGCTCTCAGTTAAAAAATATCTAGTATTTATCAATTTTCGAAACAAGTAAATTGAGGACAGGTATCCTTGACAACGTTTATCGTATGATAACTCCCATATCTCCAGGCTTGACACTTACTATATATCACTTGTAATAAACCTTAATCAAGGAGACAAAGATGTTACTCTGTATGTTACGAAATATCCCAAACGATGTTTGTTTACCGCAAGTTTACTTCCCTGTGGTGATATTAAAGTATCCCTGTCGCCGGTTTCTATTTTACCACCAATAACTAGGAAACAAGATCATAAATTTTACAGATCATTTAGCTAATCATTCATCGAAATGATGAAAATCAGAATTGGGAGATATTCACGGGGATATTTATATTTAAATAAAAAATTCGTGGCGAATTTCATTTATCGCTTATGAAATGGAAACGAATGTGATATTCTGTTTCTCATATGAATTGAACATTTGAAAATATTTGCAAAAACACCTTTTCACTATACAGATAAAAGGTACAAGTTAGCGATATTATTACACTGTATCTCTCTCTTTGGTGACGTTACAATGCATATGACGAAATGAAGCTATGACGTCACAATTAAAACAATGGGAACCTTCAATCAATCACAGTGAACTAGGTCATATTACACTTAAAGTTTGGCGTAAATCCTTGTAATGGTTGTTGTTGTTACGCTAACAAACTGGTAGCTATGCAATCAAAAATTATTTCAAACCATTTGCCGGATTTTAAAAAAATTCTATGTCATAAGAACAGTGTGATTGCAGCGAAAGTTATGTCCCTTCAATTCTCAACAATGGTCTTGATAAGAAAGATATGTATAATTTGAATTATGACCAATGTATTATTTTAAATATTTAAAGAAAACTGATCATTCAACAAATTTTATAATATAAACAATATTTGTAATCTGAGCAATATTTCTAAATTGAATTACATTTGTGACATCTAGTATCATATTCCGTTTATATGTCAGCTCAGCCTGGCACTGAATAAAGTGCTTGACCAGGATGAGGGGTCCAGAAGCTTAAGAAACTTAGGAAACAAGTAAAGAACATAAAACATAGATAACTGACAGGTGTCTATAGGACGTCACGATGATATCTGTTCATATACTTCGTCAGAACCATGATATATATACACTTCTAACACCTAACTGTTGACTTTGCCTGGTCACCATCTCAATTGAATAATTTTCAGACGTCAATGCCTCGTTTAGATTGGTTCTTTTGCCTCCTTGATGAATGTGCCTTGTAGTAAAGCTCCAGAAATTCCAAAAATAACACCACTGACCACGGCCAGGGCAAATGACCAGGACAGGGATATCTTGATAGAAATACCGTAGATAAGAACCGACAGCAAAATACATCCACCTGTGAAAGGGTCAAGGACAAAAGCTGATTTAGTAGGTAAACGTATTGATATTCGTGGAGATAATGAAAATATTATAACTTATTCGCAGCAGATATAAATGAACCAGATTTCAGAGTAAAATTATTGTTGTGAATTTATAGATTTATTATGTGAATCATAGTGTACATATATATTTATTGACAGCTGATGTCAATATACTGTAAATATTAACTTATTGGTAGCTGATGTAAATATCAACTATTGATAGTTGATGTAAATATAGACTTATTAATAGTTGATGTAAATATCAACTATTGATAGCTGATGTAAATATAAACTTATTGATAGCTGATGTAAATATAAACTAATTAATAGTTGATGTAAATATAAATAAACTGATAGTTGATGTAAATATAAACTATTTGAAAGCTGATGTAAATATAAACTTATTGATAGTTGATGTAAATATCATCTATTGATAGCTGATGTAAATATAAACTAATTAATAGTTGATGTAAATATAAACTTTGATAGCTGATTGATAGCTGATGTAAATATAAACTTATTGATAGCTGATATAAATATAAACTTATTGATAGCTGATATAAATATAAACTTATTGATAGCTGATGTAAATATAAATAAACAGATAGTTGATGTAAATATCAACTTATTGATAGCTGATGTAAATATCAACTTATTGATAGCTGATGTAAATATAAACTTATTGATAGCTGATGTAAATATAAACTTATTGATAGCTGATATAAATATAAACTTATTGATAGCTGATGTAAATATAAACTTATTGATAGCTGATGTAAATATAAATAAACTGATAGTTGATGTAAATATAAACTTATTGATAGCTGATATAAATATAAACTTATTGATAGCTGATGTAAATATAAACTATTTGAAAGCTGATGTAAATATCAACTAATTAATAGTTGATGTAAATATCAACTATTGATAGTTGATGTAAATATAAACTTATTGATAGCTGATGTAAATATAAACTTATTGATAGCTGATGTAAATATCAACTAATTAATAGTTGATGTAAATATCAACTATTGATAGCTGATGTAAATATAAACTTATTGATAGCTGATGTAAATATCAACTAATTAATAGTTGATGTAAATATCAACTATTGATAGCTGATGTAAATATAAACTTATTGATAGCTGATGTAAATATAAATAAACTGATAGTTGATGTAAATATAAACTTATTGATAGTTGATGTAAATATAAACTTATTGATAGCTGATGTAAATATCAACTAATTAATAGTTGATGTAAATATAAACTTATTGATAGCTGATGTAAATATCAACTTATTGATATCTGATGTAAATATAAACTTATTGATAGCTGATGTAATATAAACTTATTGATAGCTGATGTAAATATAAATAAACTGATAGTTGATGTAAATAAACTGATAGTTGATGTAAATATAAACTTATTGATAGCTGATGTAAATATAAACTTATTGATAGCTGATGTAAATATAAACGTATTAATAGTTGATGTAAATAAAGTCGTATAAACAGCTAGTGTACAGAACTAAACTTTCAGTCGATGTGAATTTTATTTGATATTAAGTTTTCAAGACGTGTTTTCTGATATCTACAGTGACAAACCATTCCTTCTCGAACTTACCAGTGACAATGCTAGAAATGGCTGACACAAGGAATATTAAGAACCTCTGTCTGAAGTCTGATTTGAATATGTAGCAAAGTAACGTTGTTATGGCAATACATGACCCCAGGAGACCCATACTCTCAAAGGCTCGGACAGCTTGTAACCAATCTACAAGAAAAGATATCGTGTATTGAACATTCAAAGAGAGAGTTGATAATTCCGTAGTAGTTTTGTACAGGTAAGGAGTTTATAATTCCAAAAAATGGGATCGATATGGTCCGTATCTGCTTTATTTGCTAATGGAAATTACAAAATGGCTAAATCACACTTCAGTTTAATATGTTTCAAAACAAATCTAGATTTTCTATCTATTTAACTAATCAATGGTTGTGAGAAATCCATTTTCCTTAGTTATACACTCCATGAATTAACATTATTTTAGAGGCAGTATGATGTGCGTTGTTGATATTGTTTGGTATTTTCCGTATCAATATTTAATTTAATTTTAGTAAGTTATAGGTCTGTTTTTTCTTCCTTTGTATATTTTATTGATAGTTTTTTATTTGAAAATGTGAGGAAGGCATAGGAAAATAATTACCTCTTCCGGCCACATCTATATCAGCACAAATACTATTGATACATCGTCGCCATAGTCCTTCATCGAAACCTTGAATAGCAATGGCGGTCTCAAGCCGAGTTCCCTGGTCGTCATATAAACGGAACTCTTCAAAGTGGACAGAACGCCAATATGGCGTTGAAAAGGCAATAACGTTGATTACGAAAGCAGCTACTTCTAAAATAGCAGCAATCTTTACCAGACGTGGTGCGTCTAAAAACTCCGGCATTATTTCATAGAATAAGTTAATCCCATTAACGATGTCACAATTATAGTAATGATATGTATCACGGCAAGTTAGTACAATGATTTGAACGGACACGACACTATCTACAATCCTTGGTCAATAACATCCATACGAAACTGATAAATCACCGTATTCACAACCATGACGATGTCGACAGAACTATGAAAACGATTTTGTTCGTGTTCTGATTGACGGTTAGCCCTCCTTTTCTGATTGACGTCAAGATCTTCCCTTGTAAAAATGTTAACGAATGTGTCACAATTTACTTCGCCTTGAAAGAAAGGCTGTGTCCTTCCCAATAACTTTAAGGACGTGAATAGCATCCGGTAATGCCTAACAAAATATCATATTAATAACACTGCACAAATATCTGTGCAAAATATACACACGATAAACGTTCATGTACATAAAGTTCGTGTAAATCAGTGAAGCGTGACCACGTGGTGTAAGTCATCTTCCCCTAGGGCAATACCGTGACAGGCTAAATCTTACACATCATGATGTATATAATTATCATTTCGCCGAGTATATTGTCTTGTGTTATATGACGTGGCTCTGAGAAGCCCCTCAAGCACTCAGTCCCATTGTGTGCAGTGTCGAAAATGTACATGCGGTCAAACCTCGTTATCTAGAAGTCGACAAGGGGAACTTCGGGTTATCCGAGTATTTGATTGAAGTTAATTCGAATATTTGAGTATGAGATGAGATATTGCTTGGACCGACAGAATGCTTCGAACTAAACGGGGTGTTCGAGTTATAGAAATGCGAGATAACGAAAATCCACGGTACGGGTTACTTCTGTGAACAAAATATTTTGAAATTGACAAACACCTTTGTAGTAATGAGTAAGTGATTCGAACCCTGATCGTCCAGGTAACACGTAATCGCAATATTCATCAATCTTGTCACCCAATATGCTACTGTACCTTAATCATAAATTACGATATTCCATTCCGTCGCTTTTTCAAGGTAGTGCTGGGGTACTTTTCAAAAATAACACTCGATGACTGATTGTTGTTCTAAAACACAAATGGTATAAGACATGTATGTAACCATGGTAACTCTAATTGGACTTATGACTTCTGGTCAAGGTCACTGTAAGTTCTTCGTTGCATTATTCAACAATTATACACCAAATAAAAGAATACAAAAATATATTTATACTGATTTAATCATTTCATTTCGACCAGACCATATCATTCTAAGGAAGAAAACTTTGGAATAAATTATGTTTACTCCTGTCGCTTTCAAAATTAATGAGATTTTATACTGTTATTGAAAACGTTTTTTATCAGCATAACACAAGCTGTCATTTTTTCACGTTAGAATATATCATGTCAGCTGTTACTAAGGCAGATATAAACCCGGTTGTCCAAAGCATCGTAACCTAAGAATAAACCACGTGACATATATTGGTTTATTACGCAAAAACATTTTCCGTTCAGTTATTACATTGTAATAATGGGGAAGTAAATTTTGGTTATATATTACATTGAACGATGATGGATGTCATCTTCTTAAAGAGAAAGATTTTCGTATTTTGTCACCTTGGGGCTACCGTAGTTGTCTGTAACGTCACATTTATCACTGGCATAGTAAAAGATAATTTGCGTTTGAGTATGAACATTCACGGTCAATTTTTCCACAACTTTATTCATTTATCTGATAAACAATACTTTATCTTAATTCATAACGATGTGACGAAAGCTCATTTTACATATATTAATGGACATTTACATAATTATCAAGTTAGTCAGTTTGGCTCGTTGATCTTGAATTTGTGACCATTTGAAAATGTGATATTACTTACCGGGATCGATTAGATTTTATAGCGAGTGTCGTCGTGGAAACAGAAAACGCTTACCTTTCTGGAACATCTGGTTTAAGTCTCCCTGTACTTCTTAGGAGTCTCCTTGTAAATCTTTCTTTTATTCATATTTTCCCGGCTTTGTTTTATTGAATTTACGTTTAAACTGAGTTTGAAATACGATTCTGTTTAAAAAAATTATTCTTGTTGAATCATTAGAACACTTGAATTATTTGTTTATAACCTATCAACCCATCCCATATCAGTACGTGTCACTGAATGAATCTTATAATCCCTCCGTTTTTTTGTTTGGTTTTTATTATTATTATTTCTGGGAGGGTTACTTTTAGTTTTGTTATTGTTTGCTTTTTTGTTGGTGTTTTTTTTCAATTTTTTTTTTTTTTTTACTTTTTCATTTTTGTGTGTTTGTTTGCTTTTAGGGTTATCTAACCCAAAGTGACCTATTGCTATCGTGCATCGTCTGTCGTTGTGCGCCGTCTGCCGTCCGTAAACTTTTGCTTTAAAACAATACTCCTGCTTAACGCCAGAGCGGATTCTAACCTTATTCGATCAGGAGCATCACTGGGGGTAGGAAATCAACTCTACCTCAATGCTTGAATGAAGAATGTATTTCAACCAAATTTGGTCTGAAAAATCATTGGGGGTGGAGAATCATTTTTAAATTCAGAAAGTTTATTCGATCCTCAGGGACTTAGGGATAGTGCTTCAAAAGGGGAAGTCCATAATAGTTTGCTATAAAACACCATTCCTTTAATGCTTAGATAAATTTCAACCAAATTTTATCTGAAATATTATTGAGGAATGGCAATGATATCAAACGTAGATGAAGTAATCTTGAGGTTGTCCTGACCAAATCTTATTTATTCGCTTTGGTCCAAAGTCCATCATATTTCCTTTTGAACAAACAGTCTGAACTACTTCTCAAGTTACATTCACGCCGATGGGAAAAATGTTTGGAGTTTGATTTGTTTAGGAAAGAGATGATATGTAATTATTTTTCTGTCTGAACAAAACTGCAACCACAAAGCCATTTAACATGAAGGTGGAACTATTTTTTCATAACTGTACAGAACTTAATATCTATTGGTTTCTAATACTTTCAAAGTATATTCAAAATTTGAATTATTTTTGTTGATGCAATGTAACATAATCTTCATAACCAGCAATTATTATACAATCCCTTCCTGTCAAAATCTCTTGTCACCAAATGAGAAATAAATATATAAGCGGATATTTTTATCAAAAAAAGGGCGGGGGGGGGGGAAATGCTTGGAGGACAGGAGCACAGACAATAGTTACGATCTTCTCTGTTCGTATGAGAGCGTGACTCCAACAGAGGCGAGGGATTGGATAGGAAACTAACTGGCCATTACATGACAGTTTATAACAAAATTTCATGCCTGGAAATTAAGAATTAAATTATTGTATAATGATAATATCATTTAAAACAGTAAAAACTGATTACTTGTGGATTTTTTGTGTGGAATTTTTAGCATGCCTTGACTCTGAAAAACTAAATTCTATGTAAAAAAAATAAACTTTAAAGAAGGCAAAAGACAACAATAAACATAACAAAAAACAAGAACAACATCAACAAAAATTTTTAAAAAAAAACAGTAATTTTATTGTTTTTGTCCTGTGCTTCGAACTTAAAAAGTTTTTTTCATTAAGGAAAGTCTCGAGACTACCCGAAGGGCTACATACTATGTCCCGAAATTCAAGATGTCTGCGCCCATATAAACTTTCACCATGATGTGTCAATGATCTGATAACAACAGACAATATGAAGCGAGCGTTTGATTCTTTTCAGTCAGACCATATTTTATGCGGTTGTCCTGATTTAAAGAACGATTTCTGTGATTTAAAAGATAAAAACACAAAAGGACACGCAGACGGTTTTGCAGACGCCATTACTGTTTGGATAAACAAACCTCATGTCTTGAACAGACGTTTGTGTGGCTCCAGAATAGAGAGTATAATACACTACTCTACTCTGGATGACGACACACAAATACAGAAAAAGTTTGAGTCGGCTGTGTCGACGGCTTTGAGGAATGGACGACTAGATACGATAGATACGGTAAATGTAAATAGATACGAAAAAGGCAAAAACGTCACCACCAAAACGCAACCATGACCCATTAATAGGAGATGTCAAGCCTGCAGATGACACTGACAGGCTGTTTATAATTTATGATGATGTTTATGTTATGATAAATACAGGAAAAATATAGCAAAATAATTATTTTGTTTGATGTATGTTGATGCTGAAACTGGCCAAGGGGTAATTTTACAGGATTTTATTGGCCAATTCCAGAAAACTAATTTTAAAATTTTGATGAGTCCCACAGGGAAAGCATGAGTCAAGGACTCAAAATATCTGAGTCCCAAAAGCAACTGTAAATACTTTATTACTGTCTTGTACAAGGAATGGCCTTTTTTAAGATGGCTGACACAGTGTTGTTATTTGGAAAGGCATATTACTAGAGTACAAAGTCTGAAAGAAAATAGGAATTAGTAGGTTGGTTTATGTCTGTGTGTCTGAAGCTCAGTTTGTTTGATGATTTCATGATTCAATCTAGTTTCAGGCTTCCAGCTCAATAATACAATTGTCGTATTCAATAACTACATATATTGAAATTGTTTGTTGGAGTTAAAGTGCATGTTACAACAAGACTATGGGTGGGCCTATATGAGACCCTGCTGTAGGAAGGGAAACTGGTTAACAACTAGCTCTATGATTTCAGAAGCTCTGTGATTATCACTTTTACAAATTTTCCAGTGAAAATGTATATAACTTTCTTTGATCCACCATTGATTCATAATCTGTCAAAGAAAATTATAGTAATGATAAAGGAAGATTATGAAAATAGACAAACAGAATGTACACAATTCAGAAGGTAAAATTATGAAACTTCTCTTAAGGATCTTGAATCTTCACATAAAATATCAGGAGGAAATTGAAGCCATAACAGGTTTTCATTTTTTTTATGATAACTGTGTAATGACTTGTGATGAGGTAAATGTAGCTGACGTAACATTTTGTCTAAAGCAGAAACTTCGGGAAAAGCTGTACATTTTTATTTTTTATTTTTGATTGATATCTTACTTTGGGTGATATCATCATTTTTTTTTTATTTTCCCAGTTATGGCTTAAAGCAAAACATTTAAAAGGCATATTCTAATAAACAAAACTTAATTGTACATCCTGACCAAACCATTTGAAACCTAAAGAAGTACTAAAGATATAAAATATTGTCTTTGGTATTTATGTGTTTCCAATTTATTCTAAATCCCATTGCAGTCATCAATTGGACCAATTCACAACTGGAATGGATAAGTTTTTGGAACCAATCCATAACTTTTTGTGTCAATGTTGCTATATAATTCTGAGGACCAGTCAGTAATATAAACAAAGATTGTTTTCCTTGGTTTTTGTGAATATTGTAGGGAGATGAGCGTAAATGATATATCACTTAGAACCGAACACAATTGCAATGTCTCGCTGACAATGAAAAGAAAACTTAGACTGCTTAGATATTTCATAATGAACAAAAATTCACAGCAAACGCTGTCTCGATACCAAATTCAACAGATCGCTAAACTTCGTGAAGGGCTAACAATTAAATATGACCCTTATAGCACTGTTCAAATGCTGGAATACAAATTTCAAATATTTCTGGGTTTTGTGTGGTACTTGTCCCAGTCAGATACTTTTCATAAACCAGAGACTTTGTAGTATAAAGTGAGCACTCGCCTTTCGTGGCTGTCTCCATTCATCATCTGGAAAAGGCCGTTCCTTATCCGGTACACGGACAGTGTTTATATCATTACAGTGTACTCTGTTACTGTATCTTAATTACCAAACATTTTTCACACAATTTATTTGTGCTCTTCCCAATTTCCCCCCTCTTTTTTATTTATCGCCTACATGTATACTTGCACACTCCTAATATTGAATCCAAAGCACAGAAGTTGAAGAAAACAATTTTCTCTGTACATATGATTTAACATATTAATTTTCCTTTTTTTTTTTTCTTCTCCTTTTTTTTAAGGGTGATGATAATTCCTGTATGGAAGTTCCTGGTCTGTCCACTATCCCAGAGGGAGAAGGTGTGATCGTGATCAGGGACATCTACCCCAAAAGGGATGATGCACACCCAGTAGTAAAGGAAGTTATATGTTATGGTAAGTCAAAAGAAAATGCATGTTTTCTGTTTCCTTACTTTGATTAATAGTCATTCCACAAGACAAAACTGAGCAGTACAGAAATTCCTTTTTTTGTGTTTGTGTGTGCATTGCAATCGACTAGAACCATCTAGAAGACAGTGCTGTCTCTAACATCAAGGTAGAATCTTTCAAACTTAACCTGGTGAGGCACCACGACTAGAGTACTCTTCCTCCATCATAACATGTAGCCTTGCTGAGAACATATAACTTAACGATACAGATACAGATACTTTTTATGAACCATGTGCCATCCTTTAGTGTTTTATGACAGTTTTTCAAAAAAGCATGTTAAAAGTAAGAATAGTAAACCTCTAACAGGAAACATATGTTTAATTCCATTTGGCCTATGTTTGAATACATGTACAAGAAGTATACTTAAACCTTTGTGTATATTTATATATGTGTGATTAGAGCTGATTCTATATGATAAATTTCAGGTTAATATCTATTGGTACATAACCAAGCAAACTATTTATCCAGTAATAAGCCCGTGCCTAATGATAAGCCCATCCACATTTCCAGTTACATTAAAATTTCCACAGTTAGCTGTGTCATTATATCCTGTATTAAGGCCGATACCTTCTCTGTCCCTCTTTTGAATTAAGACCAAAAGGGCTGTCCAAAATTTTCTCCATTTCTCAAACTAGCCCCTAATTTCCCCTTTTCCACTGTTGGTAGTATTCCCCAAATTCTGTAATATATTTTTAATTAGATGCCACTTTGAAGAGTGCCTGGTTTTGCCCAGTAAGTGACACCTACAAACAGAAGTGTGTAGAAGCTTCCAGAAATCGGTGCTACCAGCTAGTGCATTGTGAGCGGAACACCAAGCCAAGGTTTGCCTGCATTTTCTCTTAAAATAGACAGGAAAATATATGCTTTACGTATTTACCCATACATTATTGTAGCTACTGCTGGATTTTCAACCACGTCAATCTGTCTGGCGCATTTAATTCATATTTTGTGCAAAGTGACGCCATTATCAGTCAGAATCCACAAAGGGGAGTAATTCTGTCACTAGTTAATATCTAGTTAGCTGTTTTCTAAAATCAAACACATTTTTTGAAATCTTAGTGAAAACACAGAGAAACTAATCAAGTAATTTTTTTGTTCAATTTCGATGCTATTGATTTTTTTTTTTTTTTTTAACAGAATTTTATTGAGGGTTTTCAAAACTGAAATGGACTATTGGTGTTCAAATACAGAACCCTCTGCAACTGGACAAAGCAGAACAGCACTTGATCTCTCCACTTCTCAATGTGAACCAGTTGACAGTGAATTCATTGGTTCAGAATCTGAACTGGTTTCAAAAGACATAGACCTGAGTGGTTCTGATCAAGCACTTACCACATCTACTACTGAACTGGACACATCTATAATTCTCTCAGATGTCTGGATTACAAATATTCTTTTGCGAAAGATTGCAAACTGGAGCGAACAGAAAAAGTTGGAGACAACTGTGAAATCTCTACGTCTGGTCAGAATAGACTTATACAACGCTTTGTACAACCAACTCAAAGTCAAGTATGGCAAAAGATTTGTAGAGGTGGGTTTTCTTTATTTGCTGTTGATTAATCCAACAAAATTTATTGATATAGCAGCAACAGAAATACTGATATCATATCAGAGTCCAGTTATCTAATCCCATTCTTGTTTAACATAAACTTATTTTATCGTCAAAATAAGCAAACGGATTAAGCACAAGTTACAAAAACATTATTGATGCCCTTTCCTATTAATATAAATATATACATATATATATAGCATAAGATGGCTTAACTAAATTTAAAATTTTACTCATGAAATTTTGACATTGTCCTGTCTGAACTTGAAAAAGAAAATTATATCCTTCATACCCAGGTATGGTAGGTAATGTCTATACCATTTATTCAATCTAGAGTTTTTTACCTAACTTCAACCCCACCCTGTTGTATGTACTCATAACATTGTCGTTTGGATGTATGGATGTTTCAGAACTGGCCTGAGAAAACAGATCCATCAAAATTTGTTTATGAAGATATTGGTATAGCTGCTTATCTCTTGGTGAGTAAGGTATTGTACTGTATATAATCTGTTCATTTGGATATGATATATAATACTGACAGTACATTAATGACTTAGAGTTATCTCCCTTGTAACAATATAATGTCATGGGATACCACATTTTGGGTACTTCAGCGGCTGAAATTTGGTGTAACTTTTCCCGAATGAGCCGTAATTTGTGAAAACCTTGGCAAGGAATAATGGATTTAAAGGATACTACCAACGTCTAGTCGGAAGTTGGTTAATTTTAAGAACACTCCTTCCTGTTGTCTTAGAATTTATAGTCTTTAGAAATTACAGCTGTGCAGGCAAGATTACATGAAATACTGTGTCATTTACACTGGCTATAAATGCCATATCAAGAAAGTTGAAGGATTCTCTTTACATTTCCTACTCTTTTCACTATTGTATGTAAATTTGCTTCCAATTTATTCCATAAATGGATATTTGACAATGTGATAAGCAATGAAACAACAACTCTGTTTGGTGTACTGTTGTTTTTCAAAAGTTTATTAAGTGTAGCCATAACAACCATGTGAGTAATGGTATTTATATTCTTATGAAGTTCACTTTTGTGTCTAAGGTTCTAATTTATTAATGAAGATGAAAGCATTATGCAAATATAGATAAAGATGGTTTACTGAAAGGGTTATGTATATATAAACAATTAATTTAAAAGTGACATTTGATGTTTGACTTCATAGTACACATTCATAAGAAACCAACAATAATTTTTTTAAATTTGTTTAAAAATACGAAATGTCTCAATGATTTAACCTTTTTATCTTTTATAACAGTTAATCTGGGAACAAGAGCGAAAGGAGAAAAACCTGAGTGAGAAGCAGTCGTTTGTAGACATGGGATGTGGGAATGGATTACTTGTTCATATCTTGGCTTCTGAGGGTGTAAGTATTGTAGCCTGATTTAGTGAATAACATTGATTCTTTATAACTGTTTGGGGCAAATTTTACTTATGGCTAAAAGGCAAGGTAGTACTGTGATTATTCCACAGTAAGCCCACAAGCTTACATATTACCACTGATACAAAGGGGTGGGCTTATTATGGGACATTGAAATATCACTTGGTATCATTCTGCGGAAGAGAAATAGATTTGGGTGGGCTTATTACAGGACAATGAAATATCACTTGTTTGTAAATTCCAGGGGTGGGCTTATTACCAAAAATGGGCTTATTGTCAGATAAATAAAGTATGTATGTTTTTATGCATTAACAAAAAATGATGTACCGTCTTCATTGTGCGTTACTTCACTTTGATTGGCTGGTAGAGATCTGTAAAGTAATAAACACCTTTTATTGTGGTTAAAGGAATATTCTGCCAAAGTTTTGAAATATCTGGCTGTTCTGAACCTTTTAAGAATTCATTCTAGTGACTTTTAAAACTATTTTTAACATCAAATTTTTGTTCCTGTGGCCAGTTTGGTCGTGTGACATTTGTAAATCAATATAGTCAGATCTATAAAGAATTTCTGCAAATCAAAAATGATATGATTGTTCAACTGAGAAATTGAGGTGTGTGATTTTCATAAGAACAGAAGTAGATACTTTTGTACAGTTTTCTTCAAAAGCATCCTATGAAATCCTAACTTGTGCAGAATACGTTTAAGCTTAATTATAATAAAATACAATTATGAATTATCTTTTGCTTTCTTAAGTTACGTGACAAAAAAAATGTATAATACTTTGTACTCTGTGTCCTTCATTTTCTTCAGTATAATCTACAGTTGTAAAATTGCTTGAAATTTTGTCCAAACAAATGTTAATGTATTTTCAAACTAATTCTCGCAATAAAACACATTCCCTTGAGTTAAGTTATTTTCTATATCAAACACGTTTAAATGATTAAACAAATTAAAATATTTCTTTATTCCACAACTGTTTAGCATCCTGGTGTTGGTTTAGATATACGGAAGAGAAACATTTGGGATATGTACGGTCCGGAGACTGACCTCAAGGTAAGTGTTGATTATAGTAATATATATCTAGATATGTTTTCACACTCATAGCAGTAAATAATACATGCCTACTTCACAGATTAGCTAAAAACATTTAGACCCATGTTAACTAAGAGAGAGAGTTCTAAGAAAGTATTTTATCTTTCAGTTTAATAGACTAGGACACTCTGCCTTATATAACTGACTTGTCTATCACATGGACAGACAACCACTTGTTTTTATATGAACCAAACTTTAGAGTTGAACATTGTAATCTTCTATTTTCAGGAACAGACCATCATTCCATCATGTGACTCCTTGTTTCCACAATATGATTGGCTGATTGGTAACCATAGTGATGAGCTAACACCATGGATACCAGTCATGGCAGCAAGGTACATTATCTGTATCTATATATATATATACAGCACTGACCTAGTCATCCTAACATATGTTTCGTGCTTGTCATTATAAGCAAAATATGCTTTACAAAAAAACTGGTTTGTCATCACAGTGTATAATGCTGCCTTTCCACTGTAAGTCATTTTTTATTTTACATATTTGTTGACATTTTGCACTTTGTCATGACAAACATACATATATATATATATACCAAGAAAACAATGTTATAGAGTAGAACTTACCCATGAAGAATTTTCTGGAGCTCCATTTCTTAAATTCATACAGGTCTATTTCAGTAAAAAATCTATCCCTACCCAGAACTCCAGGTTTTGCTAAGGGCACCACCCATAGAATTTAATTGATGATTTTTCTTAGAAGTAATAGATGGAGAATCAAATAAAGTGGTTTATTTTGGAGTTAAGTAAATATACATGTAGAGGATTTAATGGAATAGGCATTATTTGATATCTATGGAACTTCTATCGGATTTCTCATTAAGATTGTGAATGGATAGTATACTGGTATCAAGATTTGTTTTATTGATGACCTCTCTACTTGTTTTCTTTCCTAGGTCATCATACACATGCCGTTATTTTGTCTTACCTTGCTGTCCATTTGACTTTGACCGCAAGTTTAACAAGAAGGTCAGTGGCCAGAGTAGTTACCGTTGCTTTCTCAACTGGGTTATAGAGGTAGGACAAGTCTGTGGCTTCCAGGTGGAGGAGGACACCCTCAGGATTCCGTCTGTTAAACGGGTGAGTCTGAAATCTACAGGACTTGGTATTGTACAGAGTTATGTCCCTTAGATCATATCTAATGCTGCGGTATGTTGGGATTGTCACTGTTGTTTTATTTCTCACACTTACACCAAACTGACGATAAATGTTTATATCTTAATTTGATAAATTGAAAAACCAGCCAGCCTTCAGTCAGTGTGTGATTTTGAATAGCTGCAATACTTTAAGACCTCATCCTCATCTGATCTGGTGGTCTAGAGTGGAAAGATGTTATGTAAGCTACCTATTTCAGTTTGCTGAAATCCAATCCGATCCCATCTATCCCTTCTTTTCTCATTCCAACCATTTCAAATAAATTTTATTCCTTCTTTTTATGTCTCCACTATTTTATAGGGGGTGAGTGGGGAGGGGCATATAGTGCTATCTGTGTCTATTTGTCTGTCCATTATGCTCTGAATCAGTGTTATGTTCTCAAAAACAACTGAACAGATATATTTACCCTATAGTATCATAACATCATGTTCTACACCTTATCAGATTCTGGTTCACACTTACCCTATAGTATCATAACATCATGTTCTACACCTGATCAGATTCTGGTTCACACTTACCCTATAGTATCATAACATCATGTTCCACACCCGATCAGATTCTGGTTCACACTTACCCTATAGTATCATAACATCATGTTCCACACCGGATCAGATTCTGGTTCACACTTACCCTATAGTATCATAACATCATGTTCCACACCTGATCAGATTCTGGTTCACACTTACCCTATAGTATCATGACATCATGTTCTACACCTGATCAGATTCTGGTTCACACTTACCCTATAGTATCATGACATCATGTTCTACACCTGATCAGATTCTGGTTCACACTTACCCTATAGTATCATAACATCATGTTCCACACCTGATCAGATTCTGGTTCACACTTACCCTATAGTATCATGACATCATGTTCTACACCTGATCAGATTCTGGTTCACACTTACCCTATAGTATCATGACATCATGTTCTACACCTGATCAGACTCTGGTTCACACTTACCCTATAGTATCATGACATCATGTTCTACACCTGATCAGATTCTGGTTCACACTTACCCTATAGTATCATGACATCATGTTCTACACCTGATCAGATTCTGGTTCACACTTACCCTATAGTATCATGACATCATGTTCTACACCTGATCAGATTCTGGTTCACACTTACCCTATAGTATCATGACATCATGTTCTACACCTGATCAGATTCTGGTTCACACTTACCCTATAGTATCATGACATCATGTTCTATACCTGATCAGATTCTGGTTCACACTTACCCTATAGTATCATAACATCATGTTCTACACCTGATCAGATTCTGGTTCACACGTACCCTATAGTATCATAACATCATGATCTACACCTGATCAGATTCTGGTTCACACTTACCCTATAGTATCATAACATCATGTTCCACACCTGATCAGATTCTGGTTCACACTTACCCTATAGTATCATAACATCATGTTCTACACCTGATCAGATTCTGGTTCACACTTACCCTATAGTATCATAACATCATGTTTCACACCTGATCAGATTCTGGATCACACTTACCCTATAGTATCATAACATCATGTTCCACACCTGATCAGATTCTGGTTCACACTTACCCTATAGTATCATAACATCATTTCCTACACCTGATCAGATTCTGGTTTGTATAGGAGCAAGGACATTTATATCTTATTGACAATTTCCAGTCTTTAAAGATTTTAATCAAATTTGATAAGGTCAGTACAAATGTAGAGCTAAACCTTGGCCGAGGATGTATTTCATGGTAGCAGGATTAATGCAACCTTTTTTAGAAATTTGCAAAACATTTGTATTGGTTTGTATGGGAATATGAACATTCATTTTAGTCAACTTCCATTACAGGTTTGTTTTATCGGAAAGAGCAGAACCTACAGCAAAGAAGAGGAATCTGTCATAGACACAAAAAGAACTACGTATATAAAGAACAGGTGTGAAAATAGCAGGTTAAAGGGAGAAAATCTGCATTTGACTTCTATTGACAATAAATCTCTTATCAACTCAAAAGCTTCAAACTCGGACCAAAGCTTTCCTAGTGACAATAAGAAATTAAGACTTGACAAAGAAAATCCCGGTGGACTGCAGTGGACATCAACGTTCAAACCACGGGAAAGTACAGAACGGACACGCAATTGTCAACATGTGAAAAAGGAAGTAAAGGAATTAATTGTGAATAAAGTTTTCGATAGGATAATGGCGGCAGAGGATGCAGAGGTTCGACAAACTAAAGATGGGAGGACCTGGCACAAGGGAGGTAAGTCATACAGACAAAATAAATGTTGACTTTCCAGATTGGATAATGATATTTTTGACATCAGCCAAATTATCGAGTGATTTAGGTCATTGATATATAATTTTTTTGAATAGGATCTGTGGCCTTGTCAGACGTAGCTCAGATGTTTGACAAAGATGTGCTAAAGGAGCTGAAGTCAGAATGTGGTGGTCTCCAGACACTGCTTAGAAATCACAACATGGTGTTTAATGGTGAGAAATAGCTACAGAATGATATATATGTTAACTAATTCCTTATACTGGATTGATGGTTTACTCTGTTGTTTCAAGAAAAAGTAGAAGATGTTTGAATATTGATGAAACAGAAATAAAAATCACAGTTTGAGCCTGTTACTAAGTATTTTAGGTCAATTGTTGTTTTGGTTGCCTGTTTTCATTTTGGTACTGCTCAGAAAAAAAATCAAAAGGGCCAATAAGCGTCCATCTTGGATTTTGACTTCGAAAGTTTGTTGTCACTATTTCTTGAGAACTACTTTATAGATCTTTCTCAAATTTCATGTATAGGTTTCTTAGGTTGTTCCCTAGTTGTGCCTGTTTGAGTTTGAAACTGATTAGAATAACAAAATGTTCAACAGGCAGCCATTTTGGATTTGGCAGGTAAAGATTTTCATCACTATTTCTGCAAAGGAATGTTCAATTGTTCCATCATTAAGGGCAAAAACAGAGAAGAAAATTGAAAAGAAGGGAAAAGATCTAACTTTCAAAGAGCATATAAAAATCAAACAATGGTGGGTGCCAAGATCCCTCCGAAATCGCTTGTCATATGAACAATTTTGCTTTTAGTTTAATTTAAGAAGTGCCATTGAGAATATATTTTTCATGTTAATGAAGAAAATCGCCAAAGATTGACTTTTAATTTCAGGGTAAAATCTGCTTTACAATATTTTGTATTATCTCTAATGGCACCTATTTATTCTGTTTATTGTTGACAGTGTCTGGTGGTAAAGTACAGCTAAGAGACTTGACTCTGTCCCAGCCATTCAGTAAAGCCTCACAACTAAGTCGAACCAAAAAAATCAAAACCATGCTGTGCTGGTTTCATGCCCATCATCCAGACGGGTGTCCTCGGACGAGAGACATGTGTTTGTTTGCTCACGGAAGTGACGATATGATACCAAGTGATACAAATCTATCATCAGTCTCTCAGATATAGTAATTTATTCTTCAACTCAAAATGGTTATAGTGATAAATGTGAAAAATAGTTAGTTTGGTGTTTATAATGATTTATTTTGATTCAACGAAGGGAAATTGCATTTTATCTTTTTATATGAACATACCTATGTGAAGGTCAGGGCTGGAGATTGATGGTTTTGTTAATTAAATTCAATCCTGTTCGTTTTAAAACTTATTATTACAACTGTAATCAATTTAGGTTGAAAACACATTAAATAATGGAAATAAAGGAACGTATTTTCAAAATTACCAAAAATTTGCAGATTGCAAAATTTTGCTGGAATAAAATGAAGCTTACATCTAACATTGGTGACTAGACAGGTACACATCTGCAAAAATATCTAGTGGGTGACAGAGATTTCATAATATCACCCTCATTTCTATGCCATTTTGAGGAAAATGGAGCATATAATGCTACCAGTGGCCGTCTTGTCGAATCCATCACAAATCCATGGCATATCTCGAGAACTTTTCAACAGATAAGGTTCATATTTATTCTGTATTTATTCCGTGTTTTATTACACACCTACACCTTATTAAATCGTGGCCATACTTGGAATCATTCGCAAATCCAATAAACCATGATACTTATGTGGTTGGGAGAAGGGGCATGTCTTACAGATATTTTCTAGTTTTGCCTGCATATTATATAAAAGATAAATACAATATAACAGCCACTGTACCGTTGAATGTGCAACAAATCAGTTACAGAAACTGTATATTTGTGTTGATATGAAAATGTATATCCTTTACCTGTACTTACAAAATCGTTCACATCGAATAGAATGACAATTACAAAATCATGAAGGTTGAAATGATTGTAGCCTTGGATAATATCATTAACAAATATTATATCAATAATCACACTCAGATTTTGACTTTCCCCGTGTTTATCAAGTCTATTTTAAAAAGAATGAATGGTTGGGACTGAAAATACATTTTCCTGAAGATTAATTCTAGTTTTCATGACACATTTGACAAAGGTTTGCTTATGGAAAACTGCTTATTGTAAATTTTCTATGAGTAACCTCTTGCTTTTTGACCCGAACTGAACTTAATAAAGATTGAAGATTCATTCTCACAGACATTGTTGGTTATTTTGTAAACCTATGTCATACCACAGTTTTTTCTCCTGTTGCTCAGATGTTGTAAATTTGGGTTCCTTAGTAGCTCCAGTTAAAATAGATTGCAGATTTTTGAGAAGTTGCTCTCCTTTGTGTTTGCCTTTGTAATAGCAATATGTTTTTATACGCCCGTTGAAAGACGGACATATTATGGTATGGCGCTGTCCGTCTGTCCATCCGGCGTCGGTCGTAAACTTTAATTTGTGTGGAGATCTCCTACATTTTTCAGCCGATCTTTCTGAAACTTGGTAGTCTTAATCACCATGATATGAAATTGTGTTTTCCTGAACGGAGTGTTTGATTAGACGATTTGAATAAGAGTTATGCCCCTTCGTTTATTTCACTATAGAAATCTTGTCCGGAGATCTCCTCCAACATGTTTCAGCCGATCTTTATGAAACTTGGTAGTCTTAATCACCATGATTTTAAATTGTGTTTTCCAGAACGGAGTTTTGATTAGACGATTTGAATAAGAGTTATGCCCCTTTGCTGTTTTGGATATTCACGGGCGTATTTTGTTCCGCTTTGCGGTACTCTTGTTTATAATCAAGGATGCCATATAATTTTGAAATTGTAGCTGATGCCTCACTGAAGCCTTCCGCAACAAACTGTATTAAAAATATTTTATTGAAAAGTGGTAAATATGCACTTAAATGATCGTCATACCCGAGCGATCCGTCTAATATATGGTATGTATCCATTATCTAATTCTTTCTACACTTTTTCCTAGAGGTTGACACCAAAGTGTTTGGCCATCGGGTGCATCGTTTTGAAGGTTAGAATTGCAGAACCCATATCTCATACAACACTAGAATATCCACACCAACAAGCCTTCCTAATTTAGTACTGTTTCATCAGCAACCCAGTTTTCTTCTAAATAAAGTATCAATAATTTATCACAAACAGATATTGTCGTCCGGTAACTTATCCTCGAGAAACCCCTTTGATCAAACAAGTTTTAAACTTTCATCTTTCCTCTTAGCACACTGATGAGTCCTGGAAGGATGAAATAGCTGTATAATGCAGTTTAATGTAATGCTTGGCTCTTCTGTGTCTAACTCTGCATGCATGCCTTTTTTTACACATTTTTAAGAAATTCATTGCTATGTTTCGGAAATATCAGAAATAATACATGATAGACATGTTTGGAGAAGTATCCATTCAACCTTATGGTAACAAAAGAATTCCTTGCAGTCAAACATTATATTATATTATCTTTAAGATTGTACAAAGTGATGGTAGCTAATACGTGCCATTTCGTTATTCAGTAGAACAATGGTAAAAGGGTCGAAATAACGGTAATTGATGTGGTGTAATAACGACAATCAGTGTGGCAAAATAACGAAAATTATCATTGCAAAAAAACAATAATTAGTTGGGGATATGATGTTGATTTGATGGGAAAATAACTATAAGTGGGACGAAATAACTTCTGTAAGTGGGGGGCGAAATAACTATAAGAAGTGGGACGAAATAACTACTGTAACTGGGGCAAAATAACTAATAAGTAGGGCGAAATACCTTCTGTAAATGGGGCGAAATGACTATAATATATGGGGCGAAATAATTACTGTAAGTGGGGCGAAATACTGTAAGTGGGGCGAAGTAACTACTATAAGTGGGGCGAAATAACGATAATTAGACGGGAGAATACATCAGGTCATTTTAGTTCGTGTTTTGGTTCGCAGATGTATTTTTCCCCTTCGCTATTCCGTTCTGTTGATTTATTTTATCATCAAAGTTAAATAACGATATGGCACCTATCGGCCACCATAACTACTCCATGCTAATATTTTGTAGCTGAGGTGTTGTTGGTGTAATCCCCCTTTACAGATCTATTGTATTTTTTATTGGTGTGGTAAGATTTAGATGCTTCAGTCAGTCTTATGTACAGGATCGACAAACTCACCCTCTGTTGTCACAGACACAGTAAGTAATACCTTCATCACGCTCAATCATGTTTGTTTTGTTTTGTTATTGTTTTCTTTTTCAGGGATTTTTTGGTGGGGGGTGTTGTTAAGTGGAGGGCGGGGGAGGGCGTTTTTACATAGATATATTTGTATATTATTCTGTTTTCCTCTGCAACAGACTTTCCTCTGAGAATCGCAAAACCTACCAAATAATGTTAAACGTAATTCGATTTTTAACGTGGCAAAATAGCAGATTGTTGAAGTACAAGTGTTTTGTTAAATTCAGACAAAATTATTTTTTTGAAATCATTAATGTTATTTATCAACATTTATTTCACGATCATTTCTTGCTCTTTATCCTTGTGAAATTGCTCAACTTTCGTAAAAATTTCTATATTAAATTACCACCTGTAACCTGTTTCCGAGGGCCTTATTCTCCACTGACCAATCACTTCTCCTGGCTACGTCAAACAAGATAAATAAGCAGGACATAATTTGATTGCAACTTGTGTCCAATGTGAATTAGTTCTTTAATCAAAATATTAAGTTGATGACTTTGTAATACAACTTCCAAGAAGCAACTGTTGGTCACAAGGATGGTTAACGTAGAAACAAAAATGGCTGACGCAGAGATCGCTTCACAATGAGTTTTAACTTCTATATCTGCGTTTGAAATAGTTTTCATGAAATATGATTTCCTGTCAAATGTATCCAGGACTAATTAGGTCAGTGTTTTGTTAGAGAGTTTGCTTTCTATTACTCTGTCACTTCCTCAAGGTCAGGATTTCATAGTGGTTATTGCAGAGACACATTCAAAATGTTGATGAAACGTACGTTTCTAGAATCTCCATTTTACCTATTTATGGTTTAAAATGATGTAATTAATCCGATAACGAGACAAACAGTACTTGAAAGGCAAAATGTTAACATCTGTACAAATCTTTATTATTAGACACATTAAATATTGATAATTCAAATGTTGATTTAAAACATTTATAAATTACTAGGATCTAAAAAAAAGGCCAACTTTCCCCCCCCCCCCCCCCCCCCCCCCCCCGATGATGATAAATTCTACCCTACCACAATCACAAGGATATAGTATAATGTGTGTATGTTATACGTTACCGTGTTGACCTATTTCTCTCCGTAATAGTTTCGCCGGTCGTCAGTATGTCAGAACCACGTGCAACCAATGAGGAGGAGCGGACGGACGGACAGACGGAAGTACATCAAATACAAGTCACGGGTTGGTACAAAATCGCTTAATCGGCATTAAATCACTTGTGCATATGTATACCATCATATTTGTTATAGCAAAGTTGTATCATTTAGTGTTTTTATTATAAGCTAGCTTGCTGTCATCATCCTCACTTTCGTTATTTTACCATTTAAGTGTTTATCATAATGTAAGTAGTTGTCAGTAACCATGTCTTTTCCAAACTAAAATTTCCAAAACTAAAACCAAATTCAACATGATCAGCTAACTTTTAAGTAAATCTATTTCACCATAGATATAGGTTTTAATTGTAGTTTTCTGATGGTAGTAAGGACAATAAAGCAAGGCTTAACGCGGTTTACCGAAAAAAAGTACATAGATAAATCACGCGACATTTCACTCGAAAGTATACAGTACCAAACAAAAATATCCACAAGATTATGAAATCCTGTTTCAAATGTTGGTCACGCTAAGTTGATGAAAACTCTAGTATAATGGGCGACATCAAAATATCATGAGAAAACATTATGTTATTCTGCAAATGAAAGTGTTATATGTTTGATGCCCGTTATTATTCCTTCACCCTCGATACTCCAGGGCTTACAATCACTTTCGCTATCACCACTCCTGGAACATGTCATGGCAAAATTGAAGGTCAAGCGAAGTAGTTTGATTGGTTCCAGGAGGAAAAGCATTGACCAATCACAGGCTGATACGCTCCGTTTCAAGATTACAAAGGAGCGACATACCGTTACGCGACCGCGAGATACATTCGATGTACATCAAAGGATCGAACTAATATTTTCGTCTTGTCCACAAGGTGTCGCACATCGAACGTTTAATTATGCCATGAGATGTTCCAGGGGTTGAGAGAGCGGAAGTTACCGTAACCCTTGAGTATCGAAAGGCGACATTCCGTATTGTTAAATTGTCAGCACTACCCCTTTTCCAGTATTGAGAACATGACATTACTGTGATTGCCATAGGTGTATATGGTAGATGTTGCCGAAACATTTCAGAAGACTTTGTGTTACTCCCTCGTACTTTTTTGAAGTTGACCATGTAAAGTTTTCTTCTGTTATAAGATAAAAGCTCTGTCAAAGAAAATGAGCTTCGAGAGATGTTTGACGCCATTGATATAGACAAAGATGGACGATTGTCTGTAGAGGAACTCATTAAATGGCACCACAGTGTCGGACTCAACCCGACACAGGAAGAGGTTCAAACTTTACTGGCCGAGTGTGATGCTGACGGTGAGAATTATATGGATAATCACGAGAATGACAGATGGGTACTTACGATCTGAGGTTTTTGCTGATACAATTTTTATTAAAGCCCATAAATCGCTGCTGTCGTTTGCAACTAATTTGAGTTGGAAACGTGTCTGGGTAACGTATATCGGGATATATTTGCGCTGTGAATTTTTTCAAATATCCCCAAAATGTACTCTTTGCAATTTTCGCATAGTTCATTTTTTTCGGCAATTTCTTGGTCCAGAAATTTGACAGGCCTCCTCTGAAGTATTGAATATCTCACAAAGGGCATGTGTTACATAAACATCAGTATAGGGTCTAGCTTAAACTGGAGATCTATCTGAGCAGTCACACCAAGATACGAAATTTATTCATTACACACATATTCACGACAAGAAAGGGTTCAGGGGCATGTAGGTTCGCCAACTCTATATATTCACTACACATACGAATACAATATCAAAGGAAACATGTTCATTTCACGATTTCATTTTTTTCTTGTAGTTTTGAAAGGGTCTCTAAATTCGCAGAAAATTAGATTCTCGCAAAAATTTCCGATATACACTATATCACCAAGTGTTAACATTAACACTTTTTAAGGTGTTCCGTGTTCACAGGGTCCACATATATCGAGTTTGACGAATACAAAGACAAGTTGAAGACCAGAATGGACGCGGCTGTGAATGAAAGGGACGCTTTAATGGACGCCTTCCGGACGCTTGACAAAAAAGGCGACGGGACTGTTTCGTACCGTACTCTTCGGACGGTATTATCAGGGACTGGTGATGTTCTCGAAGAAGAATTACAGGACGAGATCTTTCAAGATATGGATGTGAAGAAAGATGGTATTATAATATATAAAGGTACGAGAATTGTCGAAATTCTTCTGAAGTGCCCGGATATTATCGACATATTTATCTTCTTAGTGTCTTGCAAATGCTAATTTTTACACTGTATGTAATAAATTTTGGTGATGAAATGAAGAAACAAGAAAACACGACCGTGAGATCAAAAGCCACGTTTTATCGTGAGAATTCTCTCTCTTTTTCGATAAACAAATACAGGGAAAGTTGTTGATAAGGAAAGTATATTAATTTTCAAATGTTTTCACGACGGACTAGACTTAGATATGTTGAATTGGCCTCGTTGTATGTAACAGCTTATTTACCTGTCAACTGCTAATATACGTTGTTATTTCAAAGTAGATAATCTTATTTAGCTAAATCTGCACTGCCGATTTGAAACCATAGCTTCTATTTTATGTTCAGATATGGTTGGAAAGCTGTGCAGGACGTGAAAGGCATGCTACAGTAACGTACCGGCGTCAGAATGCCTATCCTGATAACATCGTTGCTAGGGGAATATTACCTCATCAGTGTCTCCCATAACATTATATACAGAGCAATGACAAGACTCGTAAAACCACAATGTTCTTAAGAGTGAAGTCCTCTATAACATTTCGACAATGAAAGGATTAGACCTACACCACGCCATTAAAACATGTGGCTTCTGTTAGATATGGGTCTGTTGGTATTTATTGAATAAACCAAATATTCAGTGTCTTCAAAATTTTAATTGTTTAATTTTCACAATGATATCAATCGGAACTTCTTTTCTAACACATTTCACTAGTTTAGGGGCTGAAATGTTGTTTTAGAGGCTACCTGTAGGATACAGTGATGGTGTGACTTAATGGTGAGTGACAAATTGGTCAACGTCAAATAAAATTGGGAATTTATGTATCCACAACTATTTGTCTGATTTCGCTGTAAGCGTGTAACTGTTAATGCCACTAATTTCATGTTGATTCAAAAGAATTATTATTTGATACATGAAAATATACTTTATAGCTTACGCTTCAGAAATGTATTTTATTGTCGTGTACGCAATAGAGACGTTTTTCCTTGCTGTTTACCTAGCACGTCACAATGTTTAATGTTGGTATAAAACAACAAAGAAAACGTCGACATCAGTACAGAATCTTAATTCAAACCCAATGCTGATGGGACATTTGGGAAACATGAACAAAAGAAAAGTTTCTACGGAGACTCTTTAACGAGTACAAGGAGAAAAAGACCAGGTGTTCAAGAAGAGCAAGCGTCTTCTGCTTCAACGACGATACCTACCATATACATTTTAGTCAATTCAATTAAGTAATGTGATGTTTTCAAAATAAGAAGAAGGTAAATAATATCGGAACTACAAGCAAACTAATGATCATCAAACATGTCGACCTTATACCGCACAAAGAAATAGAGTATTTTCATTGAGATCAATATCGAATCAATAGTGACGCATATTTATGTAGGTTGAGGATGCATGGCTATTGTTATTCAAAAGTAGAAAATTCCCAATAGAAAGATATCGCCATTATCGTACAGATTGGTGAATTGGTTGTGAGCGAGGAGATTTCTGGATATTGGTGCAGTAATAAAGACGGAAAACATCAAATTCACGACAGAACATGTTAAACGCAATTTCCGGTTTTCATATCACTGACAGTTCTAGGATAAACACAAACTATTTCAAACGTCGAGGAAATCTCTCTTGAAATTTTACGATATTTTTTAGGAAGGGGTCTGTATTGAATCTCGTTAAGTGTCAAAATCATTCCTTTTTATAATCAACCAATCACGTGGCCGTATGATTAAGTTAGTGGAGTACAGGTACTTCAATGTAATACTATCTGTAGATCGTTCAATGTTGCAGGAAATTAATAGTGGGCGCTATCTGGAACTGTTGTTATACCTTCATTTTATAAGCTGTTATTGATAAAATACGGAAACAGAATATTGATCAAGATAAAATCGTTTTACATCGACATCTCTCGTCTCTCTTTTCATGGTATGACAAATCAATGTGCACGCTCCAATGTCTGTGTCATACACGCCACCTGCATCTGTTCAACCATTTTCTTACCTGTGGCATTTATTGTATTCTGACATTGTGTTCGCCTGTCTCTGTTTTGAATTTGTCACGGACATTTTCCCAGAAGACGCCATTATGTTGGAATTTTTATCCAATTTACGTATGTTTCTCACTTCAGTAACTTTGGCCCTTTCTGAGTTATAGATCGATTGCCGTATTTCAAGAGCTTCCTCAGAAAGATACAAAACATTAACGACAATCCGTATATTTTCGAAATGTGTTTTTCTTGAAGCTGAAGCGCGTCTGATCTTCATGATGATCAGCTATTGACTTTTGACGCATTACAACACATGCGGAGAGATATTCAGATGTTCCGTAACTACACTAACCGAGAGGATTGAAAATTTATTTTAAATGAAGAATTGCATGTGTATTTAAGTCCTTTCGGCACAGGATTTATAGAACCACACTCAAGCAATTGAAAGTGAATTGCCGAGGTCATTGATGACGGTCAGAGTATGAAATATGAAAAGTATAATAACAACAAATAAAGTAACGACAAAAACAAAACACAAAGAAAAAAACATGTCTTTCTTAATGAAAACGTTATTTTCGATAACTATTCAAAGTCAAATCTCAAAAAATGAACAAAGTATATACCTGTGAGATAGACAGGGTGTGTTTAAGTCCAGTTTTGAAATATGTTTTGTGATGAAATGTCGGAACTGTATCTATTAATAAATCCCAGGCACTAACATGAATCACACGTCAAGGATAATGCATCACAAACCAAAAGGAATTTAACATCTACACATTTCACATCTAAACTACACATTTCATATCTACACTACACATTTCATATATACACGACACATTTCATATCTACACTACACATTTCATATCTACACTACACATTTCATATATACACTACACATTTCATATCTACACATTTCATATCTACACTACACATTTCACATCTACACTACACATTTCATATCTACACATTTCACATACACACTACACATTTCACATCTACACTACACATTTCATATCTACACTACACATTTCACATCTACACTACACATTTCATATCTACACTACACATTTCACATCTACACTACACATTTCATATCTACACTACACATTTCATATCTACACTACACATTTCATATCTACACTACACATTTCACATCTACACTACACATTTCATATCTACACTACACATTTAACATCTACACTACACATTTCATATCTACACTACACACTACACATTTCACATCTACACTACACATTTCATATCTACACATTTCACATCTACACTACACATTTCATATCTACACTACACATTTCATATCTACACTACACATTTCACATCTACACTACACATTTCACTTCTACACTACACATTTCACATCTACACTACACATTTCACATCTACACTACACATTTCATATCTACACATTTCATATCTACACTACACATTTCACATCCACACTACACATTTCATATCTACACTACACATTTCATATCTACACTACACATTTCATATCTACACATTTCATATCTACACTACACATTTCATATCTACACATTTCATATCTACACTACACATTTCTTATCTACACATTTCACATCCACACTACACATTTCATATCTACACTACACATTTCATATCTACACTACACATTTCATATCTACACATTTCATATCTACACTACACATTTCATACCTACACATTTCACATCACATTTCATATCTACACTACACATTTCATATCTACACTACACATTTGACATCCACACTACACATTTCACATCTACACTACACATTACACATTTCATATCTACACTACACATTTCATATCTACACTACACATTTCACATCTACACTACACATTTCATATCTACACTACACATTTCATATCTACACTACACATTTCATATCTACTACACATTTCATATCTACACTACACATTTCATATCTACACTACACATTTCATATCTACACTACACATTTCACATCTACACTACACATTTCATATCTACACTACACATTTCATATCTACACTACACATTTCATATCTACACTACACATTTCACATCTACACTACACATTTCACATCTACACTACACATTTCACATCTACACTACACATTTCATATCTACACTACACATTTCATATCTACACATTTCACATCTACACTACACATTTCATATCTACACTACACATTTCATATCTACACTACACATTTCACATCTACACTACACATTTCACATCTACACTACACATTTCACATTTACACCAAACATTTCACATCGACACTACACATTTCACATTTACACCAAACATTTCACATCTACACTACACATTTCACATCTACACTACACATTTCATATCTACACTACACATTTCATATCTACACTACACATTTCATATCTACACTACACATTTCATATCTACACTACACATTTCACATCTACACTACACATTTCACATCTACACTACACATTTCATATCTACACTACACATTTCATATCTACACATTTCACATCTACACTACACATTTCATATCTACACTACACATTTCATATCTACACTACACATTTCATATCTACACTACACATTTCATATATACACTACACATTTCACATCCACACTACACATTTCATATCTACACCACACATTTCACATCTACACTACACATTTCACTACACTACACATACACTACACATTTCACATTTCACATACACTACACATTTCACATCTACACTACACATTTCACATCTACACTACACATTTCACATCTACACTACACATTTCACATCTACACTACACATTTCACATTTACACCAAACATTTCACATCGACACTACACATTTCACATTTACACCAAACATTTCACATCTACACTACACATTTCACATCTACACTACACATTTCATATCTACACTACACATTTCACATCTACACTACACATTTCACATCGACACTACACATTTCACATTTACACCAAACATTTCACATCGACACTACACATTTCACATTTACACCAAACATTTCACATCTACACTACACATTTCACATCTACGCTACACATTTCATATCTACACTACACATTTCATATCTACACTACACATTTCACATCTACACTACACATTTCACATCGACACTACACATTTCACATTTACACCAAACATTTCACATCGACACTACACATTTCACATCTACACTACACATTTCACATTTACACCAAACATTTCACATCGACACTACACATTTCACATTTACACCAAACATTTCACATCGACACTACACATTTCACATTTACACCAAACATTTCACATCGACACTACACATTTCACATTTACACCAAACATTTCACATCGACACTACACATTTCACATTTACACCAAACATTTCACATCGACACTACACATTTCACATTTACACCAAACATTTCACATTTACACTACACATTTCACATTTACACCAAACATTTCACATCGACACTAGTGATTAATATAGGAAAGTGAAAAAGCATAAAGATGTGCGAGTCTGCAAAGTTCGAAGTGATTCACCCGGTAAACATATAAACATGATATGTTACTGTGTATCATGTATAACATGGGATTTAGAAAGTATAAAATGGTGAATGATTAAACGCAAATTTCACTTTTTCTCTATGTCTCTGGTCTATAATCACTTAGAATTAAACAGGTCTATACGCCGTAATTACGGTAATTTTAACTGCGTAGGATTGTGTGGATGTTTGAGGGTCGTATCCATGTAATCATTCAAGTTGTGAGAAGTTGACCGTGGTCAACACTTGTATATAGGTGACCGCTTAGCTGTATCCACGGGACACATTACAATATATACAACGTCTTACAAACGTGTACATTAAAATTAACGAAGGGTTATTTCACACAACTGAAATTTGGTCAAATTCGTTGGTATCCCAGGTCCGTTTAACTATAGCTGGAATTTAAATGTTTACGTTGGTTACGACACTTGACTGGGCATTCTCCTTGTGATAGTTGTTTGTAGACATTAGTGTTCCAGTTTGTGATCCCTACCCAATATTTGGACGCGGAATTTAAACTTCAAAATTGTTTGAACATTTACAAAAACACGGTTAGACCATTTAAGACAGAAATAACCTTCGGTGTTGGTATCCCTGATAGTTGTTCATGCTTGATTGAACACAGTCGTATATGTTTGTTTAGTTGATGAAAAGATCTCCTAAAGCACTTTGTTTATCGTAAGATTAAGTTCACCAATATTGTATGATATCCATGAGCCTATTAATATATCGCCTGTCTTAGGTTGTCGATGACATCATCTGGAGACGTCTGCTCACCCTAATATTTTCATAGTACTGTGCACATGACTATACAGCAGGGTCAGTGATTTTTTTTTTTTTTTTTTTTGCGAAATCGATAATTTGTATCTATTTCCTTAAAATCAATAACAACAAATCGATAAAGCCTTAAATTAGTCAACCAAGTAATTAATCAGTGATTAACATTAAAGCTATTCATTAGAATAAATTAAGATAAATTTTAAAATATCAAATTTATAAATTCACCGATCTATTGGTACATTGATATGTAAAGTCAGGCGGCTTTCCTTTTAAAATATCACATCAAACGATTATAAAACCTATTCCATCATATAATTAATTATTTCCTTTTTATTACAAAATTCTGTGTCAAACTTAGTTTCCTTGAACATTGTATCTCTTTAATCTCATTTGTGACGTCATTATGAAATTGTGACGTCTTAATGAAAAGCACAGGTGTGTGACGTAATTTCATTAATTCTGACGTCATGATAGCTCGAAAAACATGAGTTTATCAGCTATAGTAATACCAATGTATATAAGAGAGTAAGTAAAAATATATTTTAACACTATAACAGGTCGTATGGCCCGAGTAACTATCTACAACCACAACATTCTTTCCCGCTAGGATATTCTTTTGCCTTTAACATGTTTCTACTACGTAACCTACAAAGTATGATACATGAAATGCTAAAGAAATAACAACTGACCCGTGACGAGAACTTTAAAAACTATATAAATACAAATTAACCAGTAAAATGCTGTCAGTGACACCATTGGTACTTCGCGGCTCTTCTTATCGCGAATAAAGGGTGACTGTGGGAACTACAGTCAAATAACGGGTGCTTGTGGGAACTATAGTCAAATAACGGGTGCTTGTGGGAACTACAGTCAAATAACGGGTGATTGTGGGAACTACAGTCAAATAACGGGTGCTTGTGGGAACTACAGTCAAATAACGGGTGATTGTGCGAACTACAGTCAAATAACGGGTGATTGTGGGAACTACAGTCAAATAATGGGTGATTGTGGGAACTACAGTCAAATAACGGGTGATTTTGGGAACTACAGTCAAATAACGGGTGATTTTGGGAGCTACAGTCAAATAACGGGTGATTGTGCGAACTACTGTCAAATAACGGGTGATTGTGGGAACTACTGTCAAATAACGGGTGATTGTGGGAACTACAGTCAAATAACGGGTGATTGTGGGAGCTACAGTCAAATAACGGGTGATTGTGCGAACTACTGTCAAATAACGGGTGATTGTGCGAACTACTGTCAAATAACGGGTGATTGTGCGAACTACTGTCAAATAACGGGTGATTGTGCGAACTACTGTCAAATAACGGGTGATTGTGCGAACTACTGTCAAATGACGGGTGATTGTGGGAACTACAGTCAAATACCGGGTGATTGTGGGAACTACAGTCAAATAACGGGTGATTGTGGGAGCTACAGTCAAATAACGGGTGATTGTGGGAACTACTGTCAAATAACGGGTGATTGTGGGAGCTACAGTCAAATAACGGGTGATTGTGCGAACTACAGTCAAATAACGGGTGATTGTGGGAACTACAGTCAAATAACGGGTGATTGTGGGAACTACAGTCAAATAACGGGTGATTGTGGGAACTACAGTCAAATAACGGGTGATTGTGGGAACTACAGTCAAATAACGGGTGATTGTGGGAACTACAGTCAAATAACGGGTGATTGTGGGAACTACAGTCAAATAAAGGTTGATTGTGGGAACTACAGTCAAATAACGGGTGAATGTGGGAACTACAGTCAAATAACGGGTGATTGTGGGAACTACAGTCAAATAACGGGTGATTGTGGGAACTACTGTCAAATAACGGGTGATTGTGGGAACTACAGTCAAATAACGGGTGATTGTGGGAACTACTGTCAAATAACGGGTGATTGTGGGAACTACAGTCAAATAACGGGTGATTGTGGGATCTTAAGTCAAATAACGGGTGATTGTGGGATCTTAAGTCAAATAACGGGTGATTGTGGGAACTACAGTCAAATAACGGGTGATTGTGGGAACTACAGTCAAATAACGGGTGATTGTGGGAACTATAGTCAAATAACGGGTGATTGTGGGAACTACAGTCAAATAACGGGTGATTGTGGGAACTACAGTCAAATAAAGGTTGATTGTGGGAGCTACAGTCAAATAACGGGTAATTGTGGGAGCTACAGTCAAATAACGGGTGATTGTGGGAACTACAGTCAAATAACGGGTGATTGTGGGAACTACAGTCAAATAACGGGTGCTTGTGGGAACTACAGTCAAATAACGGGTGATTGTGGGAACTACTGTCAAATAACGGGTGATTGTGGGAACTACAGTCAAATAACGGGTGATTGTGGGAACTACTGTCAAATAACGGGTGATTGTGGGAACTACAGTCAAATAACGGGTGATTGTGGGAACTACAGTCAAATAACGGGTGATTGTGGGAACTACAGTCAAATAACGGGTGATTTTGGGAACTACAGTCAAATAACTGGTGATTTTGGGAACTACAGTCAAATAACGGGTGATTGTGGGAACTACAGTCAAATAACGGGTGATTTTGGGAACAGCGATCCCCCAACAAGACTGTCATATAACTGTTGCTTTACTGTGAATATAAAAGCTTTTCATCAAGGTGTAACGTGTATTCCAGCACATTAGGTATGACTGGTAACACACCTTTGTACTTACTCGGCAATATAACGTGTTTGTGTTGATATCCCACCCAGTGACTGCAAACATAACAGAAGAGGATTCTGAAAAGGTAAGTCTATATGCCAGCTAATATTCCTCCGTAGACCTTTAGCTACCATTGTCTGTGACGGCGGAATCTCCACTCAGGTAAGATCATAACAGTTACTCACCTGTACTACATATCTATAGAAACCTTATTTTTGTTAAAGTGTAGCTGATTTCTACACGTTAAGGAATGTTTTTATTTTTAGTTTATCATAAATGTTTTAAACGTAATGGGGTAATTTCACCAAGATTAAAGGTAACTATCTTAGCCCTATATATAGAACAAGGTGAAAGAAGAAGTACGGACAAGACTGAGTATAACTCGTGTTACTATGACCATTAGTTATTGGTAGTTAATGTACAAAAACACGTGATTACTACAGTAAATCACGATCTTAAACAAGGAGGAAACATCATTTGTACAACTTTAAACGTTTTTATGTATCTTATACAACTAATATGTGGACATATACTTCTGACGTTTGCTATTAAATGTGATACAATTGTATGTGTTAACACACACGGTAGTAGAAAGTCCTATGTGACATTTGTTGTCCTCTATTATTCGTTATTTGTTTCTATAGTTACTATATAGAAATACCGATGATTATTTGTGCACGATATTGGATCGTAAACATCTAGGGTCTACACATCGAAAATATGTATTTCACTGTTATAATCCTGAATTAGATATAGGGAAGCGAGGAACTCCATTAGTGTAGACTAACGTTTAACAATGATAGGTTGTAGAAGATTGTACAATGACACACAAGTGCACCTTTTCATAATCTAGAGTCAGATACAATAGATCCAAACAATGAATAAATCTGCATCATACAGCTGTTTTGTCCTTCTATGACTCGTCAGTGACGCTACATCATACAGCTGTTTTGTCCTTCTATGACTCGTCAGTGACGCTACATCATACAGCTGTTTTGTCCTTCTATGACTCGTCAGTGACGCTACATCATACAACTGTTTTGTCCTTCTATGACTCGTCAGTGACGCTACATCATACAGCTGTTTTGTCCTTCTATGACTCGTCAGTGACGCTACATCATACAGCTGTTTTGTCCTTCTATGACTCGTCAGTGACGCTACATCACACAGCTGTTTTGTCCTTCTATGACTCGTCAGTGACGCTACATCATACAGCTGTTTCGTTTTTCTAGGACTCGTCAGTGATGCTACATCATACAGCTGTTTTGTCCTTCTATGACTCGTCAGTGACGCTACATCATACAGCTGTTTTGTCCTTCTATGACTCGTCAGTGACGCTACATCATACAGCTGTTTTGTCCTTCTATGACTCGTCAGTGACGCTACATCATACAGCTGTTTTGTCCTTCTATGACTCGTCAGTGACGCTACATCATACAGCTGTTTCGTCTTTCTCGTCAGTGACGCTACATCGTACAGATGTTTCGTCCCTCTAGGACTCGTCAGTGACGCTACATCATACAGCTGTTTCGTCCTTCTATGACTCGTCAGTGACGCTACATCATACAGCTGTTTTGTCCTTCTATGACTCGTCAGTGACGCTACATCATACAGCTGTTTTGTCCTTCTATGACTCGTCAGTGACGCTACATCATACAGCTGTTTTGTCCTTCTATGACTCGTCAGTGACGCTACATCATACAGCTGTTTTGTCCTTCTATGACTCGTCAGTGACGCTACATCATACAGCTGTTTTGTCCTTCTATGACTCGTCAGTGACGCTACATCATACAGCTGTTTTGTCCTTCTATGACTCGTCAGTGACGCTACATCATACAGCTGTTTTGTCCTTCTATGACTCGTCAGTGACGCTACATCATACAGCTGTTTTGTCCTTCTATGACTCGTCAGTGACGCTACATCATACAGCTGTTTCGTTTTTCTAGGACTCGTCAGTGATGCTACATCATACAGCTGTTTTGTCCTTCTATGACTCGTCAGTGACGCTACATCATACAGCTGTTTTGTCCTTCTATGACTCGTCAGTGACGCTACATCATACAGCTGTTTTGTCCTTCTATGACTCGTCAGTGACGCTACATCATACAGCTGTTTTGTCCTTCTATGACTCGTCAGTGACGCTACATCATACAGCTGTTTTGTCCTTCTATGACTCGTCAGTGACGCTACATCATACAGCTGTTTTGTTCTTCTAGGACTCGTCAGTGACGCTACATCATACACTGTTTTGTCCTTCTATGACTCGTCAGTGACGATAAGGGCCTAGTTGTGATGCCAAGGAAGCGACTAAGGAAAAATCCAAGATTGAAAAAAGATTGTACAAAAGACACACAAGTAATCTTTTTCATAATATAGTGTATGATATAGTAAAGCCACACATTGAATTGAACCTTATTTTGAAATGTATATGTTGTAACGAAGGTTATTCATGACTTCAAAATACTAAAATATGTCTTTTTCCCACAGGTAATGTCTTTGAATAGTATTTACGATTCACTACTTGACCTTAATGATAAATAAACCAATCTGGAATTCTTGTTTGAGATTCAACAAAGATCACTTATTTCAAATTTGTTACACCAAACAAAATCAAGAAAATACCAGCATGTCAACATAATAATAGTCCAAACTCAAATTCAATAAAACTAGGAAATACCAACATGTCAACATAATTATAATCCAATCTCAATAATAATAAAATAATTATATAATTATAATGATAACATATATACAAAAGTACAAGGAGAGTAAGACTAGGTGTTCCGGAAGATTAAGCGTTTTCTGCTTCATCGACGACACCACCATGTAAACCTTGGTCAATCAATTATCTTCGTGTATAGTTTCCAGATTCTACTCTCTGTCTTACCCTTGAATTTTTCAATCTAATATAAAGTGACTAGTTCTATTTCGACTCGAAGAAATTTCATTGTTGTTCCTCTTGTTTGGAACCAGATAGGTTTGTTCGGAGTTAATTCCGCATGCCGTTTCATTGGTATTTATCAGTGAGAGTTATGTGATATGATTAATTGAATGATAAACTTTAGACAAAGTCAGGGTAGTACTGCTTATAACAATAATGTTATACCAAGAAAGATTTATACAAATATTTAGGTAGTTTTGCCACGATCATTAGTGAAACACTTGTTACAGCAAGCTCTAGGTATGCATAGGTAGGGCACAATTAGTAAACTCTACTCTGGTAAAGCACGTACTTACATACACATACACACACACTCGCATCCGACAAAGCTCCAGACTTCGACTTCGAAGGGAAGTTCTATCGATTCTTTCTTTGATTAAAGTGTTCGCATTTGTCAAGATTTCATTTTACCTTCACTAACACGCTCTTGTGACGTGAAGATTTGTAAGATATCGATCCATTATGATAAAGCTGTGTTTTGATGAGCACATCATCCATGTAGTTGTGACTTAAAAGCGGAAGTATACGGGATGTGAAACGTATAACCACAAAGAGGTATTGAAATGAAGACGGACCACTAATATGAATCTTTACTGTAAATTAAAATAACATTTCCGATGAACTGTCAATATTTACTTCCAGTTTTTTAAATTATCGATTTGAAAACATGTACTTACTACATTATATAAAATTATATAATCGAATGAAACCATGTTTTACAGAGTTGTCGTTCTTCAACTCAAAAACACATTTACTGCAGGGACGATTTTTCAAGAATTAATTCACTTTTTGAGGCATTATAAGTGTATTTATTGTGCAATAATTTAATACTTTTCATACTGAGTTTGATTTCGAAGTATTTCATGCTATGAAGTGAAATGGTGACAGAAATGTGCATTAATCTATGACAGTCCGGTAGTTGTTGTTATCTTATGGTAAACATGGAGATGACATTGACAGACCGTGGTTTACCCTCTTGTCTGAATTAAACAATAAACATTTAAATATCAAATGCCACGGTAATTATCATCAATTAAGTGGCTTCATTGATCTGTTTGGTGTTGATTTAGTTTAACGATGATAGACAGTGATAAATGATGATGAATAATTTGTACATATTGATCCGAAAATTCTACTTGGATTAATGAAATGCCAAAGAGTGGATTCCTTTGTGGGGTGTATAAGATTCTGCTAGGAATATTTAGGCGGTTAGCAATAACTGATTCAGGACCTATACATTCAGTGTTCCTCTGGGTTTTATCTATCAATCTACATTAAAACAATTGGAGTGTGAAGCGACACGAACGATGGTGCTGTGAAAGCGGACTGCAGCTTAACACAAACAAAATGTGTTGTATACATGTTACACTTACAAAAGTTATCATTAAAACAACAACAAGAAAATACCAACATGTCAACATCATAACTCAAATTCAAACTATGGCAAAATATAAACAAAGCAAATATTTACATGGAGAATCCTGAAAAGTACAAGAAGAATAAGACCAGGTGTTGTCGAAGAGTAAGCGCCTTCTACTACTTGGTAAATCCAAATAAGTAATGTCACGTTTTCAAAATGAGAACAAGGTATACAAAACGAAACCAACAAGAAAACTAACAATCATCAAACGAGTCCAGCTTCATATCGCACAAAGAAATAGTGTTTTTGCACAATGACGGCGGTAAAACTTCCTCTTGATTTCCATCAACCTGCATCTTTTGAAACTAAGTGTTAAGATTCTGTCTGTCAGTTGACAACTCCTTGCACGGAATTCGTGATAACAGGAACATGTGCATAAGGTAACGTCATATGATATCAACAATGTACACCGATTACAATGGATGAATTGCAGTGACGTAACTATACATGTCCTTTACTGCTAATGAGTTGTATGGAGTAATAGAATCTTTGACTCCCTTAGAGATCTCAGCTCGTGAGGAAAGTGAAGATGAGACCCCCATGCTGGAGTCATTATATATGTGCAATAATGTGCATTGCGTTTCGTTTGTTATAAATTTGACATTACTAATGGATGTAGAAATAAGAGAGATTATTTTCTGTTTGTGTAAGATCAGTTCAACAAGTAAAACATTTTAACGTGTTCAGTGTATGTTTTAAAAAATGTACAATTTTCTTTGGTTCGAGATGAGATATCAATATCTTAAAATTGATGAATTTTCATTGACCACAAAAGAAAATCCACGCTTTTCACACCATTTATCTAACCTTGTGTAATGTATGACTGGAACTCTCCGGTCTCCAGAGGTAATAAAGGAATTTGGCTAGCAGTCAGCATGGCGTCACGTTTTGAATATACAACACCTTGTATGGTATGAAATCAAACACGTCTATTGAATAACGATATAAAAATCACTGCTCCACCCAATGAAGAAAAAACAGAAAATAAACCAGCATATGACGATTTCTTGTTTTAAATTCCAGGACCTGAGAAGTGACCCGAGAATATGGCAGACTACGATACACAAAGTCAATCCAGGGCCACGCCCACTTACGGTTACAACGGTACAGTATATCTATAAAGTGGTTTATCATTTCAATGGGTTGTATATGATGTAAACATCCTTTCTATAGATTGTTGTGTCAATATTCCGAAAGGTGAACACAGATCCAACATTATCTCCCCTACACCACCTATTGTATTCTATAATAATTCCAGTCCCCTTATCCGATAACACTACTTACATTCCTGGTTGCATATACTTTGAGTATCACAGCTTTTAAATTATATAAATGATATGAACTTCAAACCAAACCTTAAAATCTGCCAATCTGTCATTCAGTATACAAATAATTATATATCTATCTAAATCTATCTAGATTTATTAGGCGATCTGAATTTATTTCTCACACCCATTACAACATAATGAGTATCAATGTAAATATTTCTTTTTTTTCATAGTTTGCCCAAGTTTGAACACTATTTTACATATTATCAATATAATATTGGTACACCAATATTAAGGACTGAAAAAAAACGAAACGTTTATATAAATTCTACCCTTTTCACTTGAGTCCCTGAGAAAACATATTACGCGCTAGAAGACTCGTAGGTTCATGACACCATCAGCCCGACAATATATCCCCTAAGTTTAATGTTCATTTACAGAAGAGAGAGATTTTTTACAACATGTCTTAACGCTGCGAATCGTGAACAGGCCTATACCTACCTTTTTCCCTCGAGGCTCGGTAAAATGAAAAAATCTTAGATTCATAAATTTCATATGTGTACAAGATTGTCTTATCTATCAGTATGTTAATCACTTTTTGAGCAAATCATTATGAATTAAACTTTAAATGTTTCTACTTTACTTAAAAACGAATGGTGTGTACAAACATGTAGGGCTTTCAAACATTTTAAACGTTCATATGTTATAATGAATACGTTTTAAATGACATAAGCTACCTCAAACCAATTAATGATAAATTCTAATGTCAGACCAGAAGTCAAAATATATATACGCTGTTCTAAAATTGACCCCAACATTCCGTACCAATGTAACAAGAATATATATAAAGTTTTGATAGATACCTTATTGAAAGCTGGGACGTGTAATACAGTATTATTCGTCCCTGTTGAAAGGTGTGGAGTGTTGATGCTGTAAATCGTATTTTCATTAAGAACATTTGATAAGTTGTAATTTATCATCAAATAACCTTAAAAATGTTTCTTTACAATAAGAATACAGAATTTCTTAAGAATAATTCTATATATGGTAATCAGCTAGAAATAAATTCGTGACTAATTAGCTATAAATGACCGGTAATCGAAGCAACATGGATGACTTCGAGAACTATTTTCGCTCAAATCATCGCTCGGGATTTCAATTCTTTATTGCATCTCCGTGGTATTAACGAGAAAATAAATTCCTCCCAAAGTGTTAGTGATTTACAGTATATGTTTGCTGCTGTTCTCCATCATATTCGGAAAATGAGCCCATTTTCACTTGTGTTCATTCTTTCTCTCAGAGAACCCGGATGCTGAAGCTTACGAGAAAGCACGTGACCTGTTTGACCTCTTGGACGAAGACAGAGATGGGCGACTCGATGGGGACGAATTTATCATGTTTGTTCAAGGTATTGGTTTCAACCCGACCGATAAAGGGGCACAGAAAATTCTGGAGGAGGCTGATCCCTACGGTAACTTTCATCACTTCTAACATTTTGTGATGAATAACAGAAATATAAGTAAGCTAACAACTTGAGTTTCAACGAAATCGTAATGGAGTAGTTATAGGGACAATAATACTTTAAATTGTGTTTATTTCAACTTTACCAGGAAATTGTATTATGTTTTTGGAGCGAAATTTCCAGGTATACAATATTTCTCTCCAGAATTAATTAATATCAGTAAAGATGACAACAGTCAACTTTCATATGTTTTCTATAAAATCCACAGGCACTCGAGGCCAGGATATTATTTTTTAAACATTGATTTTTGTTTTAGCACTCATGACTGACGTTATTTAAACGAAATATCAATTCTGCTGATATTTCGTTTAAATAACGTCAGTCATGAGTGCTAAAACAAAAATCAATGTTTAAAAAATAATATCCTGGCCTCGAGTGCCTGTGATAAAATCCTGTGTGGTACAAGAATGCTTGTCGTAAGGCTAACCTTAATGAAACAATCATTACACTAAACAATTACTATATTAATGGCTTGTAACAAAGGTCTCGTAATGAAATAAGCCAAGAGATGGCGATATAAGGCTGACTTGTCTACATCCGGGTGTGTCAGTTATATTTCGCTTTTCCGGTCATTTCACCAGGCACATACAAATATGAAATTACTGTACTAACAAAACGAACATACTTTCCAGACAGTGGATACATAGCCTGGGCTGACTTTGAAACGACCTTGACACATCGGCTTCCTCAACTCCGAATGGAAGAGGAATCATTACGCGAGGCGTTCCAGGTATTTGACCACGACCGAGACGGAACCATTACAATAGACCAGCTAGAAACCATCATCAATGGTGACGGAAGGATTAAAGACGATATCATTGAAAAACTACGGGAATCTGATAGAGACGGCAAATTAGAAATTAATGGTAGGTCAATGATACCCACTTCTGTACACATGTACAATTGCATTTTGTTAAAATTTTAATGAAATTTCGTTTTAAAATAATATTTAAACCACAGGAGAGAAGCTGTTAAACAAAAATTGTATATATATATACACAATAAAGAATGTGTATCTCATTTACTGGTATCAGTTGGGTTCACTGGTACCCAACCTTTTTCTGATTAAGTATGCAGACATGTACTGCAGCTAAAAATTCTGGTAATATTTTCAAAATCGGACTGAATCATGAACTTATAAATTCGTGGATAAAGAACACAGAAAATTTCATTTTGTTTTATCAAAACAATAAAAATATCATAATCTTGATGATGTTATGGAATTTTTTATGGAAAAAATTGCAGAATATCATTAACTCCAAACACATATGACTGAGGAACAGTTCTGAGATTGTCATTTTAAATGTTATTAAATTAAATTAGTCGGGATTAGTTTGCAACTATTGTTAACAGTATATCATTATTATTTCATAATCAAAATGAAAATTAATTGCTCATTGGATTTCAAACAGGCAGATATCCATTATACTTCAAACTTTATATATGTCAATTACATTTTCAAATTTACTGTTTAATTTGAATGTAACATTTCAAAAATAACAAAGTTTTATAACAGGAGTGAATCAGTGACTATATGGATCTGACCAAATGTTTTTTTAATTAATGGTATTAAATTAGATCACGACACATCTTTCAAGGTTAAGCCCTATTGCACCTCTTGTGTGTACTTCAGTTAATAGAAATAAATGATAGCTCTTAAATATTTCATTTTGCCAGGAAGCACGTCAAATTACTGAAACACAATAAAACATGGTCGCAACAATGCATGCTTACTGTTTTCTCTCTATTTTCAGATTTAGTCAAAATGATTTTGGCATGAGATCAACTCCCTAGCGGTATAATAACAAAAATGACAGTCTACCTGTATCACATTGTTTATCGTGGAAGAATTTTTTTTTTCTTCTGTATTGATGTTTACTACTGTACAAATTACACATTCTAATTAAAACATAATTAAGTAGGAGATAAAGCATGTTTTGTTATTTATGCAGTCACTATCATGCAAGTTTTTACCATCTAAAATACATATAATGACATATGCTGGTATTCTGAATATTTGTCTCAAGAAATGATTAAACAAAATGGACATGTGATTAATGATTGACCTTTGGTTTTTTAACATGTTACAATAGATCATATATTTAAAGAAGTGTAAAATCACATCATGCTCTCTAACTATCAAATACTGGTTCGTTTGTGGTTTATGATAAAGAGTTCGCATTACTTTGAGATGTCCCTCTAGGACATCAGCAGTGATGCCAAGAGACTAAATGTTTGAAACATAGTAGGCAGTTGTCCAAAGTGATTGTTTGACAAGTCAAAATTTAGATGGTTAGACACATTAGCCCCATAGAGTTGTGAATATTAGCTAGAAATAGAATCTAGTGATAGATGTAGAACCTAACAATTAATTAATCTATTCATCATCTCTTGTGATAAAACTTCGTCTTAATCCAAAAATTTAATAATCTACAGTTTAGTTTTTTGGATTTTTCCCGTCTGACTTGCTATCATTTGATAAGAATGCTATCAATGTAAGGTTCAATTATGGCTGACGTGCACCTGTTTAACTTATCTCCTAACATCCTTCTCTCCAGTCAAAAATAGACAATTCTTTTAAGTATACCTGTTCTGTATGTTTGTCTTGGGCTGAGATCTTTCATAAATATATTTCCGTTTTCATTGTGTATGTTGTTCCCACTTGAGAAGGTGACATTACTTGCTTCGATTTACCAAGATGAAGCCGAGGATGACAAGGCCAATATCATCACACAATGATTGATGACATCATAACGGTCAAATACCTGTAAATATTTACAATCGACTGTCTGCATTCCAAACATGGGAAAATCAGTCAATGAAAATGTTATGACAAGTACTATAAGCAAATCATATAACAGGAGCAACATCACACACTTATTTTTTTCTTTTTGATCATTTATTTGATTAATCAATTTATCAAACAAAATTATATTAATACAAAATTATGTTTCTGTTTGAAAAAAAAATATTTCAGTGATCCTAAGCAATAAGTATTTCTTTATGGATGAAATATGCTTCATTTGTGACATCTTGACTGAATTCGTCAATTTTTTATCAATTTGATTTTCTTACAAAGGACAGTATAACTGTCTTTCTCGTACAAAAGGAAGATGTATTATGCTAAATATCTGAGTCTCAGTTCATCTTGATAGGTTCTACAGTAACAGAATGTTACAGTCTGCATTTCTATATCCCGTGCAAAACTTGATTTTTCTTCTCCGCATGCATTGATCTTAAGTTTCAATCCATCCATGTCATGAAAAGTTGGTATTTTCAGTCTCTTTAATGGTTTTAAGTTCTATCTTGTAAGTTTAATGGTTCTTGCAAACACTGATGGTCACTGTGCTTTCTTGTATTCTTTCTGTAAACTTTTCATATGAAATGAACATCGTGTGAACAATAAATGCAAACAGATTTCAAGTTTTCATCAATTAAAAAAATGTCTAAATAGGGAAACAAAACAGGTGTCGAAAATCTGTCTTTCTTCTTTTAAACATTACTGACAAGGCTAGAGATGCCTGAATCTCTCTTTGTACTTCATACAGATGAATGATGAATGATGATGATGGTGATGATGATGAATGTAATGAATTATGAGGATGGTGATGATGATGATATAGAATGATGATGATGATGATATAGAATGATGATGATATACATGGGGTAAAAAATCTTAATGAATTTAGAAAAGTAAATAAAAAGGCAGGCTAAAACTAGAAAAGAAAAAAAATAATGCGCCACCACAGTACCTCACATTTAAAGATTCCATCATTGATAAAATACATCAAAAAATGTTTCTCGTAGCATTCAATTATCTTGATTAACTATAATACTTCATTCACTTGTATCAAAAATATATCTACATGTCCATTTTGATATTATTTACAGATAAGAATCCAAATATAAGTAAAGCGTGTAGGAATATGTGATTATCTGTATAAAATTGTCATTCTTAAGAATAAGCTTGTGCATGATAAAATATTTATTGTATCTTGCGATTAGCATTTATTTCGTACTGTCCTTTTTTACATAAATAATACATGCTAGTCAATGATGTAACGATAATCAAAATTGTATGAGTTACTAATTAAATGCAGTATTAATTATAAACTGTCATAGCAGCATTTAGCACTTAAACACCATTCTTTTGTTTCTTGAATCAAAATTCAGAAAATCATATTATCAAAACTGTTTCAATAACTGCCCTTTTATCATCAAAGCTTTACTTTGTTTTCAGTGAATGCCTTTTGTGGGGGGTAAATGTATAAACAACTTTTTTTTTTTTATTAAACGTGAACAACATTTCTGATAAAATTGAAATAACTTTAAGAAATCTGCTCAATAGAGTTACATGTAGTACATTTACAAACAGCCCATGTCGCTGTTTAGCACTACTCTAAAATATGTTATTGATTCTGGTTTAATTAGTGATAATGTTCAATCTATGTCTAACTGCATGCTAATTAGTTTGATTAACAATTAATAAAAAAAAACAAAAGCTAGAATCCAAGCATTTGTTCCATCCCTAGCACCATCTCGGTGATGAATACAATTCTGATGTATATAAGCAATATTAAACAAAGCTATCGTCCATTTATACATTAATTATTGCAGTTGGCAAAGATGTTTTATTTTGGAATAAATCAATTCATTGCTGTGTGTACATTCTAAGAGAATAATAATCATTTGAATTCCTGGATTTTGGAAACTTTCATGTCTATCTTTTCAAATTTCATCCATGTCATTTTTTTTTTTTTTTTTTTTTACTTTTGAACACCTCACTTTAACAAAAGATAGGTGGAAAGAGGTAAAACAAAGCTATGAATATTCTCTTTGTTCTGAGTGTTACAATATTAATTGCACCTGTTAACCTGGTCTGAAACGTCAATGGAAACCCGAAAGCTTTTGCTGGTAACAAGATGCATTTTTTTCTGAAGGAAGCATGCATATTTAAACGTTGTTGCTATTATTTTATTTCGGTTTAGACCAAAACACTATACATTGATCAATGGTATAATTTGCCAATAAAAAAATTGAAAGTTCAAAGTTCAAATAAAAAACAAAATACTGCTGCTAATTATCTCGGCATTTATGAATGTAGCTTAAGTATCAAAATATTGTTTAACGAGAATCTCATTATCTACCATTTGATTACACTCCCATATCTACAGACAAACGTACATTGAGCTAATATTTGTGTACATTTTCATAAGTCTGCTTAATGTTGTTTTCTGAAACCATATGCAGTGATAATTATACAGCATGTTAAAAAAATAAAAGTTTTTTGCAGCTTGTTTTTTTAAAATTGTTCAATTATAGTTACAAAAGTATGTATTGCAATAGCAAATATGTACATATATTTAACAAGTTTCCTAAAAATACAAGAGAAATCATCTTTATATATGTGTACATTATATCACTTCACAAAACAATGTACAACATATGAAACAAATAGTTCAGGTGTCTTGCAGCCTCCCGCCACGCTACCCCACCTACAATCGTCCACACTAGCTAGGGGGAGACTACCCATCATCGTCCACGGTGTAAGGTGTAGGTTCATTTATTTGGAACAAATTTCTGTTGCTACCTGCAAAGAAATTTGATCAGTTTCAGAAGTGTGTTTTATCCCATGTAACATCTTTTCAAAAAAATAATTTCATTGTTTTTGGAATTCCATGGGCAAGAAGGGTAGCTCATACAATTTGATTATTACAATTAATACGGTCGCTTCATTATACTTCTTAGCTTTGAAAGTTGATCATAACTTACTAGGCCATCTTAGGAATCTTGACCTTTAACATAGCAAAGCCATGGCATTTCAACTAAATGAATTTTTAAATAGTAAACGCATTTCAGAATATACTTTTTAAAATAGGAATGTTTTTGTACATAATTTTATGTTATGATATACAATGTTAGTATGTAAAAATGAAATAACATGCATATTAGCCTATGACAGGCAAGATAACATGTAAAAGCATGAGCCAGATGACATCAGAAAGCAGGAGCCAATGACAGATAAGATAACAGGAGAAAGCGTGATGTTAGCCAATGACAGAAGCAGACATGAAATCTAAGTACTCTTCAGCAATGAGCAAAGCATGTGATGCTAGTTATAGGATTGTGAATGCAAAGTAACTAGAGTCATCAATGACCGGTGTGTGAAGATGGATGTTTGATGATGAATGTTTCCATAAAATATGGTACAAAGATTCCGACATTATGCAGGTCTAAGTCTGGTACACTATGTATTCAGTATATATACATCTTGTTTACAAAATAAACAACTTCTTTCACCATGTCAGGATATTTATTGATAAATGATACTTGGTCTTGTTTTAAAGTGAATGGACAGTTGCCATCTTATCTGTATAACTGAGACATATCTATATCGTGTAAAGAGGTATATCTGTCCGTCATTCCATTAGTAATACACCAGAATCACAGTAATGACAAGAAAACTGTTAAACCATCTAATACCTCTTTATTGAAGGATTTTTAAGTATTTTATTTTTAATATGGCATGTATATATTTATTTTCCAAAAGTATATCCATGTATTATCTTGAGCATGAACATATCTACAAGAAATCGTCTAGTCTTTTCTCCTCTTCTTTCACAACAAATCTCCTTCAAATTCCTTATACACAAGTGGAATATATAATGTTAATGCATGTTAACTAGACCAAATGATTATAGCAATGATATTTAAAACAAAGTGAATTTATTTACAAGTGACATATAAAAACCTAGTACTGTATGTACATATATATTACAAATTGTTTTCCCATTCTCCTTCTTTATTTTTCACCTTTTTCAATTATTAAATTTTAAAACACAGAAGGATTTTGACTTTTGAAAAAAATTGATCTGATTGATATTTTAAAATACATAATCATCATTCATATGACCATGAAAACTTTTGATATGCACCAATATAACTGCAAGCTCTGTAACCAGATAATGAATTACTTGTCTGAATATAGCTCAGACTTAGATATCTTAATTGTATTAGCACATAAGAATATTGAGAGTTGAAGCCAGTACCTGTGGCTTCTCAATATCTTTGAGGCCAGTACCTTTGGCTTCTCAATATCTTTGAGGCCAGTACCTGTGGCTTCTCAATATCTAAGTAATTATCAAGATAATGACCAGTGATATTAACACATGTATATACATTAAAATGGACATAATTTTGACAAAACTGTTTTTGCACCATTTAGATGTATATACATAAAGAAACTATTCATATTTCATACCATACATGCATAATCAACAGGAATGAAGGGGAGACATGCTTGATAATTAACATACACAGTAAATGCTGGAGAGAAAGAGAGAGAATGAGAGATGTTTTGTTAATGTATAATTATATTTTGGGATGTTAGCTGTTGATAAAAAAATGAAAAAAAAAAAACAAAAAAAAACAATGGAAAAATATAAAAGACATTTCCTGCAAACAAAACTGAAAGTTTCATAATGCAGGTAGCAAATTCAAGTGCACATCAGTCAAATTTTTGCCAAAACCAGCTGCCCATTCCAAAGCCCTACAGCTTCACCCAACATTGACCCACACCTACTGTTTCTACAGGCCTATATGTCATACTACATGTACAAGCTTGTAACAAAATACGCTGCTAGAGATTTAAAGAGGACTATCAAGTTTGCATAGTTTCGTCATTGTTATCCTGCTTGATAATCAAAATCAGTGTCCTGTGTGATGATCATTCTCAGTACTCCAGGGGTTATGCTCATTATTGCTCTCTGCACCCCTGAAACATGTTGTGACAAGATTGATGGCACAAGTAATTTGATTGGTTTCGAGCAAGTTCCAGGAAAAAACCTTGACCAATCACAAACTGATACACTCCTTTTGAAGGTTTCCAATAAGGACACCAAACTACGAGCCATTACAATATACCGTTATGCGACCTGCAGATTTGTTTAATGTACATCACAGGATCAAACTAGTCTTGTCCACAAGGTGTCGCACATGGAAACTTCAATTGCTGTGACATATTCCAGGGGTGCAAGATAATGAGTTTAACCACTGGAGTATCAAGGATGATGTGATGATATATGTTACAATTACATGTTTGTTGATACATTTTGCTATGTAGTTTTAAAGACCTAAATTCTAATATACAAATGTGGCAAGGGTATTGTCCTACAGACAGAAACTTCACTAGCCAATACATTAATACAATACACTTCAGAAGTAAGAGTATCGTATGAACACTTTACCATGTAGTGAAGTTAGACAGAGACACTCTCTTGTTTATCATTTACCATAACACATACAAAGTATATGATATCAATACATATATATATATATGAAAATTGAGGTCAAAGCATCTTTGTCTTAATAAACAGTTTTTAATGAAATATTCTTCACTTTACGATATGAATGTTTTCTAGAAAATTAATCTTAAAAAATATTGTCATTTTGTGGTTGAAGATCAGAGATTAGGGATAAGAGTGTTGAAGATATTTGAGAGATAAAACTAATCAGACATTATGTACCTATATCCATCAGGTTAAAGGTCAGACAAATATCCATGTTTATTTTCAGTCATTGTTTTTTTTTTACTTAAAAGCCATATTTATGAGTTTTATCTACCTGCATACTTTCTTTTAAGTTTTGTCAATATTCAAATTTAAAATAATTTTCAATGATCCCTGTGACACTGGTTTACGATCTCTTGTTACACATTTTGTGAGTTTCTTGATATTTCCTGTTATACAGTATGAAAATTTTGTCTGGGAATTGAAAACAGGAAATCCTGAGACAATCAACTGCTCTTAATCTTTTATGTCTTATTACAAAGAATGTACATTAAAAACTGTTAGTATGTGGACATGAAAACTTCCTCCTCAAAACGTTTTTTTAAATGTATCCGATCATTATTTATCTATATACATGGATTAAGAATTAATAATATCATAAAACGGTTAAAGCTAAGTTATGTTTTATAGTACAAATATGTGCGTATAAATGAGTATAAACGAATATACATATATAATACAATATGAATTGAATACACTTAAAGAAGAATTATGGACAGAACATTTGACTTTCAATTAGTTAAGGTAACTTAACACTTTTTTATAATTATAAAAAGAAAAATATTACAATATTTGTTTTAAGATTAGAAATTCTATAGTAAGATAGTATGTTTCTGTTTCTCATTCAAGTTCATGGCACATTTAGAAAAAGTGAGTTTAGGGAAATGGAGGTTAATTTAATTTTAAGAAAAACTTTAGTGTATGTAACCTGAAGGTAATCAGTACTGACTGCTATCTATATCAATCGCTAGTCTTAAGTGACAGTGAACACTTTTTATGAAATATATCTCAACTGTTGTTACATGAGTAATATTTTGTTTTTCAAAACTCAAATTTAATGTAGACAATAATTTTGAAAATACGTTCACCAATTTGATGTTTCATGACATTAATATTTCACTATAATAGATATAAACATGAAAAGAATGTATTGGTATTGGGAAACATTTAGTTCATAATTGATTTAGAACAGAACAGGTGTGCTGGTGGCATTAATATCATTCTCTTAACTACATAATGCAGACAAGATTAAAAAAAATCCTGTGATTCAGGTATATAAACTTTCTATTTTTATAAAATACCTGTTCTCTATCCTACATAGGCAAGTAAAACGAAATAAACTGATTTTGCTTTCAAATTAAATTAATGATACATGTATCCACTTTTTAAATTCATCGGTAAAGTTTCTCTTTTCAAAATTAAATTTTTTTAATTCAAAAAATATTTTTTAAAAAAGGGATTTTCTTTTCTTTTTTTCCTTTTTTTTTTGGTTTTATTTTTCAGGTTAATGTTGATTAAACTAACCTCATATATACTGAAGGTGTATAACGTAAAAAAAATTCTTGTATGCATATACTGTTTTCATAATTCACTTGCATACATAATCATCCATATAAAGTAACACTTGGCTTGGTAAGAATTTGTATACTTGTACCCAAATATAAGTTTAGAATCAAGTTATATTTTTCTTCAAAAACTTCAGGACAGAAAACCTAGGATTATTCTTTTACTTTGAACTCCAGTCTGGCGCCGCTTTAAAAATATCTAGAAATACATCAGCAGAAGACCTATAATGATTACAAACATGTATTTGTGTACATACGATAATAGTATTGCGTAATGTGAATTATCTCCCTTATCTAGCACAGCAGCAATTACTTTCCACATGTTTAGTGTTTCAATATCTTTTATATTCCGTATGAGAATAATTAAGATTTATTCAAATTAAGCTAAGTTATATTTTTTCTCTAGAGCTTTTAAGTTAAAGGTTTTTAATTTCAACTTTTTAGGATTTTTAAGAAATTTGAAATATTTGTCTCAAAGAAAAGAGCTATTTCAGCATATATTATTTTCTTGAATAAAATAGTAGTATCAGAAATTCAATTCAAATTCAAAATATATACATCATGTATATATATACAGATATAAAACAGCCCACAATAAAATGTCAGTTTTCCATTTCAAACAATAATTGCGTCAATGCTCTGAATATGAATGTTTATGTTCTTACTCGATATAGAACCTACATATTTATTCAAGAAAATATGGAAGGATATCCAGATCCAGTTTCTCAAAAAAAGTTTCTGTACTGGCCCAATCACCTGATAGAACATAAATCCTACTTTTTTCTGCGGTAATAAACATTTTTTGAGAAAATGGATCAGAAAAAGAATTAGATATTGATTTCTCCGGGAGTTGTTCTTGTATACCCGATATTGGCGAAAGCTTGATGTTTTCCCGGGATCGGGCTGGAGCCTAAGTCGGGCACTTCCCTTAGCATGTGATATCGGGTGTCATGAAATTCCTGGCAGGTACAGCATGCCTGAATCCACATGAAGACAGTTCCAACAATAGAAAACACAACTCCAATACATGCCACATAGGTGCCATAGTTTAGGGAAATCTCTGGAACAATGTTCAGTACTTTGTAAAATCCAGCATATCGGTTTGGTGTATAATCAGGAACAGGTAGGCCATGCCATTCTGCCTGGGTGTCCGCAAGAACGGACAAAAACACCAGGATGATTGATGCCACTAGACAAACAGCTGTAAATACAAAAAAACCAAATTAATATGCAAGCTATTAATTATTTCAAAAAGATTAAATGGGATAAAATCATTACTTTAACGTTGTTTAGAATATGATATAAGAATTTTTAAAAATATAATAACAAAACCCTTATCAGCTTTGATTAGACATTTCAGTGGTGAACTTTCCCAGCGATACCTATTAATTTTCTTAGTATTGATCAATCACAACAATGCTTTAGAAATTCTGTTTACTGCTTTGAAATCTGTCATTTTTTTCCTTCAGATGCAAAAGTAATAAATGTTGAATAAATTGGTTTTGTACCAAAAGTTTGCTGTATACTCTGTGGTTTTTATCAAAATCTATGTCAGCAGTTTTGTAAGTAACATTTGTATGATGAAAAGAGTAAAATGGCAAAATAACATTTATTGTCTATTCAAAATAACAATGGCCTTTAATCAAACCTTACATCATAATTACTTTTGGGGTCAGTATCAAAGATAGTGTATACTACTGTTTCCAGCACTTTTCTATTAACACACAGTTTTGAGACCAGGGATGTATAATACAGTAATATACGTCCCTGTTTAAGACCAAAGCTCTCGGGCACCTGTTTTGTAATTAAAATCAAAGACTAGACAGAGTGACTTCCCTTCCCATATGTTTTGTCTTTATTTTTTTATGGTACGACAACCGAAATGGTGGAGAAGTTATCTTGTTTAACTAGGCCCTTGAAAATTTTACGAAGCAAACAGCAAAAATGTGAATGAGACAAGTGGAGAATTCCCAAAGAAATAGTTTTGGCATACATCAATACAACTTCATCATGTGAATTTAGAGTTTAGATTTCCTGAACTTAATTTTCGACCAATATTACACAACTTACTAAGAGGTGTGGTAGCCACAGCAAGACAGAGCTCTCCAGTAGTGGAGGCATATTTCCTACAGGCCAGGATAAATGTTGAGGCACAACACACAATCATTCCCAAAGATCCAAGCAGGAACAGCAGCTGGGCTATCTCAAGCATTGCTGTAAGGTAAAAATTTGTGTCATTATCACAGTAAATAAATAAGAATTATAATAAAATCGTTTTTCGTTAGACTTTTCCCTCTAATTCATAGGCAAACATTTCTCTTTTGAGCTACAAGTATACCAAAGATATATATTACATTGTTATATACATCCCTGATGTTTACATAACTTGGTATCCTAATCTACTACTATCTTTACACATGGACAGTTTTCTCGTAGTTACATTTACATGTAAGAGGTTATTATCAATTTTCCAACCGAGGACCTCTTGCTTACCAAGTCTTACTTTCAGCAAATTGAGCTTAACGGATCTCTACAGCAGGGCAGTATAATGTGACTCTCTACCAGTGTAAGTCAAATTTATACTGTTACCACTATAAAAGTACTGAAAGATATCCCCATCAGCTCATCCCACTCAGTCACATTAAGTTGTTAATATTTCCTCTAAAGACTGACAGATCCTAAAGTCTTCATCACCATAAGCGAAGGCTTAACTAACAGTTCGCTTATTAGGTGCAGCGCACTGGGACACCAGGTAAAATTCTACCTGCAGTATTAACCCAGCTACCCACAAGACAATAACTGTAGCTGGTGATCACTGTATTAAAACAAAACATTTTTTATTGTTGATTAAAAGACACTTACGTGGAACCAAGCCCTGGTTGTCAACTTTACCAAGCATCATCATGTTGAGAAATCGTCCTTCGTCAAAGAAAAAGAGACCCGAATTAATTGACCTCGTTATAGTCTGTGTACCATCGTCTGTAAACGGCAAGTTCACTTTCAGGACGAACCAAAAAGGTAGCAAAGCTGACAGAACGCATGCTACACTGCACAGTCCGTACACTATTCCTGTAAGAGCCAAAATTTTGGCTCGTAACAGATTACCGAGGCAGTCCGCCATATTTCAAATGCGCACCAACACTTCCGCCTTTTTCACCTGTCCACAGGTAATTTTGCACACCTGTGCAGTTTTGCCCAAAATATTCACTTGTATATAGATTTACTCTGTTTCCGAAAAGTCAGAAATTCTATGAGGGTGATATTATGATATCATATTCTATGGATATCTCCGAAATTCCTGAAATTTTACAGTGCTGACCGCCTTTCTACACCACCGCCATCTTTGTTTACCGTTACAGGTGCGAATGTGACGCTAGCTTGCGAAGGGGAATAACTCTCGAGAAGCCGCGCCCCAAAAGTGAATCATACAGCAAAAATCTGCGTGTCCTTGTGCAAGTCCTTACTCTATCTGCTTAAAACGAAAGACGGAAGGACCGTAAAAGCGGACGTTATGACAATTAAATAAATGAATTGATTAAAACAAGACATCTGGTATAATTAAATTCTTACCAAATTATCTTCCTATCCTTCAAACCAAATGCAAAAAAATTAAATTATATACAGTGTGTTGTTTTATATTTTTACCATAACGTTAAACCTAAAATCATATGAAAATCGAAATTATAGAACTCACACATAATCATTATATCTAGAGAAGGGTGCATTTCATCAAATGAAGCAACAAATTTTACCAGGTTTCTAGAGCTAATAGTATTATTGTATAAATATGCACTTTTTGATTTGAAAATGATATCCTATTATTTGGTTTTAACATATTTAATTGAACAATTTCAATTTGATTGGGCACAAGTTTTCCAACTTATATTAAGCCCTTTCGCCATAAAGTTTGACAAAATACATAACGACATGTTTAAATAATAATAATAAAATACACGAAGAGAGAGAGAGAGAAGGGGGGTGTAGTGGTGGTGGTTCATCTATACAATTTATGTCTTAAAGTGTAAATCAGTTTCTCCTAAACCGGACAACACAAGTATTAGTTACACTGTACACTTCTGACCGCCTTCGAGCTTTTCTAAATTTCCTCACACCCCTTGCTTTATCCCACATTCTCCAGTTCTATTATGTAAATTATATTGGGATTAGACGTAGACACGCTTGAATGATTTGTACATATACTTTGTTCTGTGATGAAATAACTGAACGGGAAATAAAATGAAATAAAAAGGTGAAATCATGACGCATCAGAATTGTTCTAACATACAACATGGATTTCGGTCATCTCAGTAATTTTATGACTTATTTTGGTCGGAACGAAGGAGAAAATGTGCGATGTATAAAGTCATAGCCATGAACAAAACAGGTTTGGTTTAACATATTTTATTGTTTATAAACAAAAGAATTGGACACCAGTTATGTCAACTGATTTCATATTACGCGTGTTGTGAACATTGTATAAGTCATATTTGCTTCTAAATTAATCGTTATGTTGATCGTTGTTAATTTATTTAGAACGATTCATGACTAATCTACAATGTACATGTAAGGTTTGCTGTTTAACGCTTTATCACACTTTTGTCCCTAATAATATACATTTATATATTTTGAGATACAGGTGCTGTTTCATGGTCATATCAGAGTTCATGCAAATGGACAGTCTTTAGCTAGTCCGAAGCTGATATTAATTATCTGTCAGAGTCGATGTCACGTCATCGGGATAAATTATGACGTCATCAGACGCTTCTGCTCAGTTGGCAGATGGCTGGCAGTCCGCTAACAGTGCGAAAATAGTATCAACGAGCCAGACGAAATGATGGAAGAGGAAGAAAGAAATAAATTTTGAGGACAGTGACGAGAAACAAACGACAACGATTGTAGAAAATATGGAGAAATACAAAACGTAAAACAGAATCTAACCTGGGCGACAGTATCGCGGTTAGCAGTCGTCAACAAAGGTAGGTTAATTCATACAATTCCACCTGATCAGGTTATTTCTGTCTGCCCAGAAAACAAATGGATCAGAGTATGAACCGAAAACGCGAAAGTTTCCAGAGCTGATATATCTGTCCACAGGGACTAGACTGTCAATACACTCGTACTTAAACGTACTATTAACATAAGTCTGGGTATATCGACAGACGAGGCTCCACGCTTTGTTACGTACAACAGTTACTGGTTAGATCAGATTTCTAGGTTTCCCTTGGTACATGATGTCACATTTCTATGTACAACAGTCACTGGTTGGATGAGATTTCTAGGTTCCCCTTGGTACATGATGTCACATTTCTATGTACAACAGTTACTGGTTAGATCAGATTTCTAGGTTTCCCTTGGTACATGATGTCACATTTCTATGTACAACAGTTACTGGTTGGATGAGATTTCTAGGTTCCCCTTGGTACATGATGTCACATTTCTATGTACAACAGTCACTGGTTGGATGAGATTTCTAGGTTCCCCTTGGTACATGATGTCACATTTCTATGTACAACAGTTACTGGTTAGATCAGATTTCTAGGTTTCCCTTGGTACATGATGTCACATTTCTATGTACAACAGTTACTGGTTGGATGAGATTTCTAGGTTCCCCTTGGTACATGATGTCACATTTCTATGTACAATAGTTACTGGTTGGATGAGATTTCTAGGTTTCCCTTGGTACATGATGTCACATTTCTATGTACAACAGTTACTGGTTGGATGAGATTTCGAGGTTCCCCTTGGTACATGATGTCACATTTCTATGTACAATAGTTACTGGTTAAATCAGATTTCTAGGTTTCCCTTGGTACATGATGTCACATTTCTATGTACAATAGTTACTGGTTGGATGAGATTTCTAGGTTTCCCTTGGTACATGATGTCACATTTCTATGTACAATAGTTACTGGTTGGATGAGATTTCTAGGTTCCCCTTGGTACATGATGTCACATTTCTATGTACAACAGTCACTGGTTGGATGAGATTTCTAGGTTCCCCTTGGTACATGATGTCACATTTCTATGTACAATAGTTACTGGTTGGATGAGATTTCTAGGTTCCCCTTGGTACATGATGTCACATTTCTATGTACAACAGTCACTGGTTGGATGAGATTTCTAGGTTCCCCTTGGTACATGATGTCACATTTCTATGTACAACAGTCACTGGTTGGATGAGATTTCTAGGTTCCCCTTGGTACATGATGTCACATTTCTATGTACAATAGTTACTGGTTGGATGAGATTTCTAGGTTTCCCTTGGTACATGATGTCACATTTCTATGTACAACAGTTACTGGTTGGATGAGATTTCTAGGTTCCCCTTGGTACATGATGTCACATTTCTATGTACAATAGTTACTAGTTAGATCAGATATCTAGGTTTCCCTTGGTACATGATGTCACATTTCTATGTACAATAGTTACTGGTTGGATGAGATTTCTAGGTTCCCCTTGGTACATGATGTCACATTTCTATGTACAATAGTTACTAGTTAGATCAGATTTCTAGGTTTCCCTTGGTACATGACGTCACATTTCTATGTACAATAGTTACTGGTTGGATGAGATTTCTAGGTTCCCCTTGGTACATGATGTCACATTTCTATGTACAATAGTTACTGGTTGGATGAGATTTCTAGGTTTCCCTTGGTACATGATGTCACATTTCTATGTACAATAGTTACTAGTTAGATCAGATTTCTAGGTTTCCCTTGGTACATGATGTCACATTTCTATGTACAATAGTTACTGGTTGGATGAGATTTCTAGGTTCCCCTTGGTACATGATGTCACATTTCTATGTACAACAGTCACTGGTTGGATGAGATTTCTAGGTTCCCCTTGGTACATGATGTCACATTTCTATGTACAATAGTTACTGGTTGGATGAGATTTCTAGGTTCCCCTTGGTACATGATGTCACATTTCTATGTACAATAGTTACTGGTTGGATGAGATTTCTAGGTTTCCCTTGGTACATGATGTCACATTTCTATGTACAACAGTCACTGGTTGGATGAGATTTCTAGGTTTCCCTTGGTACATGATGTCACATTTCTATGTACAACAGTCACTGGTTGGATGAGATTTCTAGGTTCCCCTTGGTACATGATGTCACATTTCTATGTACAATAGTTACTGGTTAAATCAGATTTCTAGGTTTCCCTTGGTACATGATGTCACATTTCTATGTACAACAGTTACTGGTTGGATGAGATTTCTAGGTTCCCCTTGGTACATGATGTCACATTTCTATGTACAATAGTTACTGGTTGGATGAGATTTCTAGGTTTCCCTTGGTACATGATGTCACATTTCTATGTACAATAGTTACTGGTTGGATGAGATTTCTAGGTTTCCCTTGGTACATGATGTCACATTTCTATGTACAATAGTTACTGGTTGGATGAGATTTCTAGGTTTCCCTTGGTACATGATGTCACATTTCTATGTACAATAGTTACTGCTTGGATGAGATTTCTAGGTTTCCCTTGGTACATGATGTCACATTTCTATGTACAATAGTTACTGGTTGGATGAGATTTCTAGGTTTCCCTTGGTACATGATGTCACATTTCTATGTACAATAGTTACTGCTTGGATGAGATTTCTAGGTTTCCCTTGGTACATGATGTCACATTTCTATGTACAACAGTTACTGGTTGGATGAGATTTCTAGGTTTCCCTTGGTACATGATGTCACATTTCTATGTACAATAGTTACTGGTTGGATGAGATTTCTAGGTTTCCCTTGGTACATGATGTCACATTTCTATGTACAACAGTTACTGGTTGGATGAGATTTCTAGGTTTCCCTTGGTACATGATGTCACATTTCTATGTACAATAGTTACTGGTTGGATGAGATTTCTAGGTTCCCCTTGGTACATGATGTCACATTTCTATGTACAATAGTTACTAGTTAGATCAGATTTGTAGGTTTCCCTTGGTACATGATGTCACATTTCTATGTACAATAGTTACTGGTTGGATGAGATTTCTAGGTTTCCCTTGGTACATGATGTCACATTTCTATGTACAACAGTTACTGGTTGGATGAGATTTCTAGGTTTCCCTTGGTACATGATGTCACATTTCTATGTACAATAGTTACTGGTTGGATGAGATTTCTAGGTTCCCCTTGGTACATGATGTCACATTTCTATGTACAATAGTTACTGGTTGGATGAGATTTCTAGGTTTCCCTTGGTATATGATGTCACATTTCTATGTACAATAGTTACTGGTTGGATGAGATTTCTAGGTTCCCCTTGGTAAAGTTCCATACAAGGTAATGCATTTAATATGTATTTACTAGTGTATACAATATTGTAGAATATGATTGGGATGACTGCAGACATGTCTGGATCATTTAGCCTTGACATCAAACGCTAGACATTTTGATGGACAGATGTCTCATGTTGTTCAGTCTGTCATTATGTCTAACCTCTGGTGTTGGGGTCAGAGGAAACTTGAAAGAACATGTCTAATGAAGATCAATGGAATGTAATTAGTTTTAAATCTTCACTGGAATTATTCATCTGCTTTGAATTCCAGCAACTCCTACTAAATATATGAATCTTTATTTTCCAGAAATCCATGCTGACTTAAGACCCTTGGTAGGTGAGTCAAATCAACTTGACTGGGCATAGTGCGCGAAAATAGAGCAGTTCCCTGAAAACCAGAATCAGAACAACTTTCATCAACAATGGAATTGTTTGGACAACCTGACAAGAGCACAGACTGGTAGTCATTGATTACAGGATGTGATATGTTTGGTAAGGGAGTAGTGGATGTACTTAAGGAAGTTGTGAAATACTTGAACCATAAGACAAAACATGACTTGTGAACTTGTTCAAAAGATTATACAAAGGAAAAGAGATCCAATGTCCGGTGCAATCGTACGGTAAGTTCAATAGTCCACACAAGGCGGATTCCGCACGGAATACCGAGTCCGGCTCCAAAATCGTAAGAAACAAAAGGAACAGACAGCCAGACAACGCCTTCGGTAGATTTCAGTCGAGTTCTGAGGACGACACACCTAGTGTGTCGAAACATGTAAACCATTAAACTCGACTGAAATGTACCGAAGGCGTTGTCTGACTGTCTGTTCCTTTTGTTCAAAAGATTGTTTTCAAGTTCACAGGGGTCAGATTTTTTTTTAGAAAAATTAACATAAACACCTTTTATTGGAAAAAAAAACAGAGTATCTAGTGAATTCATTCTTGGTTAACTGATAAACATTAACATGATATTATCTCTGATATACATTGACGTCTTTAACAAAGATCATGATTTGGTATTATTGCTTTAATATCCATGTGAGCGATACATGCCCTCTGGACCTCTTGTGATTGTCATGGCTTTCACATGGGAAATGATTTTGACGTTTACAGAAGCCAGATAAATATTACTTCGCAAATAAAATAAAAATGATGATGATTGATTTTATTTGTAAATCTAACTGAATATTGCAGGAGGGGCGGGCTCGATAAACAGAAACATAGCAGGTTCTGTAAGATCTTTCTTCTTTAGGAATGGTAGGATTTTGTCCAAATCTAGTCTAAATCATGATTTGATGATGGGGAGACAAGTATATATGAGCAAGCCTGACCACCTTAAAGGCAGAGGGGCGGGGAATACTATTTGAAATAGAGAAATCATTTTTTTAAATTTTCTGATATAGGAATGGCAGGATTTTATCAAATTTGGTCTAAAGCATCCTGAGGGAAAGGTTAACCAATTTTATATATATAGTTGGTGGGTCACAGCCCCCTGGTATCTGAGGGGCTGGGCTTAAAAAAGGGAGATATATATCATATTGTTTAAACCCTTTTCTTCTGTCAGAATGACAGAAATTTGTTCAAATTTAGTCTAGTGCATCCTTGCTTAAATGAAATTCAGTGAATCATTGAACATAGGTCAGATTGTGGATATTGGCAATCTGAATACAATATGGTTAACAGATACATAGATAGACATCCGCTTTACTCACTGTAAAACATAGTTGAAGGGTGTAATCTTTGAAATACAGCTAAGAGCATTTTACAGCAAAATGAAAATGTTTTTTCTTTTTTTTTCTTTTTTTTTCTTTAAATTATTTGAAATATGAAATAACTGCTCTTTATATATGTATATCAATATTTCTCTCCAGAGGCTGTTTTGCATATTTGAAAATTACTTTTCTCAAAAAACAACACGAAAATACCAACATGTCATCATAATTATAATCAAAACTAAAATTCAATAAAACTAGGGCAAACATGCACAAAAAAAAAAGATCTACACGGGGACCCCTGAAAAAGCATAAGGATAATAAGACCATGCGTACCAGATGAGTAGGCATCTTCTGCTTCATTGACGATAGACGCCATGTAAATCTATGTGGTGTTCTGAAAAGAGACCAAGGTATACAACAACTGAACAAACAGGTAAACTATGAGCACCAAGCATGTCCAATTCCATATTGCACAAAGAAATAAAATATTTCACAATAAGATCTCTATGACAACCATAAAACTTTTTCATTTTCATTAACCTGCATCTTATGAATATTTGTAGGAAATGCAGTAAACAATACGTCGGGCAGACATCCACTACCATTAATACCCCCGTTTATAATCATCTGTACAGCATACATATTAAAGAAGATGACAAACCAGTGGCAGCAACTTTCACATCGCCAGGTCACACCAATAATGACGTCAAAGTAATAGGTATTGTGAAGGACGTCACGGATACCAACCGTCAACTTCGAACAGAAGGAAGTTGGATAGTATCCTACAAACCACAACTCCTGATGGTCTCAAAATAATCTCATCATGGTGTATACCAAAACAATACTGAGAAAGCAGCCAAATACGAAACTGAGAATTTCTTGCATCAACTCTGGGAGAACTTCCTCAACTATGAGGAACCTACGGAGACATGCAGACACAGTGCATGGTCTCATAAAAACCTGCAAATGAACATACGGGCGCAAGGAAACATATGATCGTTTGAAAAACGTTTGAAGATATGTCCAAAATTAATACATTAAAACCTGATGATAAATAGCTATTCGAAGTGCTGACTAAGAACCAATTGGACCTGGTAAAATTCAGAGTAAAACCAGGAAGCACAGTTGGTCCTCAAAGCCGACAGTTCAGACCAGTCCTGGAGGAGGGCATTGAACTGCTTAAAAAGGACTTAGCACTGTCGGATAGAGATAGTGACGACACTGCATCCTCTTCTAAATCATCTGAAGTAAACACACAGGACTACAAGATGTTGGGATACCAGTAGATGTCTACGACCAAATCCGAAGTAGGAGGAAACAGCCAACAATATGAGTCGAACTCTGCTTCTACCATTTGTTTGGATGAACAAATCTTTTAATTTTATGAACTCTGTAACAGTAGTTGCAATCGTTGATAAATCCATTTATGATTGAGAAACTCCTAATTTACTGGTTAACGGGCACAATATCTGATATATACTTGTGTAGAATACATACAATGAACTGTATTAACCGTTACGGAAACTATAGAATGTAATGGAAGGTCACGTATGTGACCCTTAATGTGTACGTCATAATGTAAGGTGCCCACATTTTAAGTACTTCAGAGGAAATTTCATCACATTTGTTGTCCTGATGAAGACCACATAGTTCGGGCGAAACCGCTTGACAAGATTAATAAACCTTCTACCAACTTATCCTGAGCTTGCTGTGGTTGATACTTGCGTCTTTAGTCCCTATTTCTCAATCACCCTGCATACTGGTTGGTATCCCAGCAAGGGATATCAGGAACACCCTAATTTACACATAGCACCACAACATTGGCTCTAATCTGTGTTTACTTATATGAATATTTGTGTTACAAGTTTGCTTGTCAGTTGACAAATTCTTGCACAACAATGAGAGCAGATCCTTGAATATCAAATCAACAGCAACATGTAAACACCACAGGTTCGGGATGCAGCGATGTTGCTATACAGAAATGGAAAATTCACAATAAGGAAACTGAAAAACATCACGCTTATCATACAAGTAGTATGTATAGGCTCTCTATACTACTCATACAGATTGGTGGACAGCTGTTCATGTTGGTTTCCTTGTAGGAACGATCAAGATAAGTGGCTGATGTAAAAGAGTCTGTCGTGTCCTTGATTTCCGATTCTGGTATGCATATATAATGGATGTGGACAATACATTTCTTGTTATTTATTATAGTTTCATTTGAAGGTTACATTGTATGGGACAAATTTTTTATGATAATCCTGATTGTGTCGGATCATTCCTGTACAAAAATTTTTTGCAATATTGAATAAAATCAAACATACACTCATATTTTACATCAAACAAGGGCACATAAAGATGTGTAGAACATGGTTTGCCAGATCTATACAATTGATATAATCTGTACTAACTTTAATTTGTGCACAGAAAATTCAACTTCCTTCTTTCAGGCAGTTATACTGCTCAAAATTTCATCGAGGAATTCTAACTAGTTTTTAAATTATCAAACATCATCGGGATTTTTATCTAATTCATCAGTCTGTTCTGTAGCATTCTCTACTGCTGGGTCCATAATGTTTGTAGGATTGCATGAGTTATCTCCCTTCCCACTGGAACTCTTTTCACAGTTTTGCACATCCGAAGAGTTTGTAGGGTTTACTGCACTTTTGTCCTCCTTGTTAGTGGTATCATTGTCACTGTCTGTGATATCTGAAGAAATATCACTTTTTCCCTCTGAACTAATAATCTCTCCTGTCACAGTCTCCTTTTCTGGAGATTTGTCTCCAGTTTTTGACAAATCTCTTCCACATCTCCCCTCCTGTTTTGTTGGCAGTTCCACCAAATCTGTTTTCTTAAAAACAAATAAACACATATTACCTAGTAAATGATCAGCAAATATTACAGGTATTTTGTCAAAGTATATTACAACATATTTTGTTTTTTCTTTAAAGTTGCAGAAATCATCAACTTCTGCTTTAGCTATATTGTAGTGAAATCAGGAGGACTTATCTCCCTTGGTTGGAACTAACGTGAATGACAGCACACTCTTGACTTCTAATCACACAAGGACATGGACATTTATCTCCAACATGAGTCATTTCACTGTGCCACCTGTTGACTAGGAGCTGGGAACTACCCCTGAGAGTTTAGTATGCAATACACACTGAAAGTATCCATAATATTTAAACATGTTTGCTAGATCTTTTACTACACATGAGACTGTAAGTGAATAGTATTTCATGTCATTTTCATCACTTCAGTTTTTTTTTCGTGCAGTTACACAAATAATCTATTAGGTTAACCCCTAAAAAAATCAAAAAATCAAATTATTACTCATGCTGCTTTACTGCTTTATGAGTCACTGAAGTGACAGGATGTATTGTTAATTGTCATTATGTTGGACAAAACTATTTACATCTGAAGTGATTCCTGAACATCTTGTCACCTACCACAGCCCATAATTAATTTATTGATAGGCACAACCATGTCTTTTTCAATTCAATTAAAACATTCAACCCAGAGAAAAACTCTTACATGAGCTATCAATAACAAATTTGTATTGCTTCTTTTAAGAAGTCCATAAATTTGATATCAAAACACATTTGAATTGTCTGCCTTCCTTATCAATTGAATCAATTTTTTTCAGAAACAAATATAAAGCATATTTACACCATTATTAATTATCTATTGTGAACGGAGATTTTAATCATTTAACAATGCATCACAAATGATAGAGATTCCCTTGCAGTTAACCTTGACATAATCCCAAACAGAAGATCCACTTGTCTGAAGTTTGATTAGAATCCTTCCAGGAATGAAGCAACTAAAGTCTAAACAAGGATTTTCTTTAAATAGTAACATCGACCTTGACCCTACAACGCAATCTCATCTGATATCTTGGTTGTTTATGAATGTATAGTTTGACCTAAATCCCTCCTAGAATGAAGTCACTAGGGGGTGCTGACAAGGATTTTCTTAAATCAGTAGTAGTAACCTTGACCTTATAACCAAATCTGAATTTTATCTGATATCTTGGTTGTTGGTGAATGTAAAGTTTGACCTAAATCCCTAGGTAACAGTAACCTTGACCTTATAACCAAATCTGAATTTTATCTGATATCTTGGTTGTTGGTGAATGTAAAGTTTGACCTAAATCCCTAGGTAACAGTAACCTTGACCTTATAACCAAATCTGAATTTTATCTGATATCTTGGTTGTTGGTGAATGTAAAGTTTGACCTAAATCCCTAGGTAACAGTAACCTTGACCTTATAACCAAATCTGAATTTTATCTGATATCTTGGTTGTTGGTGAATGTAAAGTTTGACCTAAATCCCTAGGTAACAGTAACCTTGACCTTATAACCAAATCTGAATTTTATCTGATATCTTGGTTGTTGGTGAATGTAAAGTTTGACCTAAATCCCTAGGTAACAGTAACCTCCTTATAACCAAATCTGAATTTTATCTGATATCTTGGTTGTTGGTGAATGTAAAGTTTGACCTAAATCCCTAGGTAACAGTAACCTTGACCTTATAACCAAATCTGAATTTTATCTGATATCTTGGTTGTTGGTGAATGTAAAGTTTGACCTAAATCCCTAGGTAACAGTAACCTTGACCTTATAACCAAATCTGAATTTTATCTGATATCTTGGTTGTTGGTGAATGTAAAGTTTGACCTAAATCCCTAGGTAACAGTAACCTTGACCTTATAACCAAATCTGAATTTTATCTGATATCTTGGTTGTTGGTGAATGTAAAGTTTGACCTAAATCCCTAGGTAACAGTAACCTTGACCTTATAACCAAATCTGAATTTTATCTGATATCTTGGTTGTTGGTGAATGTAAAGTTTGACCTAAATCCCTAGGTAACAGTAACCTTGACCTTATAACCAAATCTGAATTTTATCTGATATCTTGGTTGTTGGTGAATGTAAAGTTTGACCTAAATCCCTAGGTAACAGTAACCTTGACCTTATAACCAAATCTGAATTTTATCTGATATCTTGGTTGTTCATGAATGTAAAGTTTGACCTAAATCCCTATAATGAAGTCGCTAGGAAATGATGAGCATTAATTATATGATTCTGAGAGAAGACATGATTTCTTGTTTTGAAATATATCCATATATCCAATATTCATTCAACTTTAAAATTATCATACAGAATTTTAAACTTTAGACACAGCTGGAAATAATGCCTGAAGGTTAAATTTTGGTACATTTTACATCCATTAAATATAGCACAAAATTACATACAAATTACCAACAGCCAATATTTCTGCATTTAATCAAAATTGCAAATATATCATCCTGTGCTGTTTCTTATTTAATTATCAGATAACCAAGGTAGCCGTAAATTTTACACTCCCAAAATCAAACAACTATTTAGATCAAACACTATTGAGTACCTTTGGTTTTCCGTTTCCTTCAAGAAGTGCAAGTTCATTAAACATATTAACAGCATTCATGAGGATATCTTTGATGTCTTGCTTGGAAGTACGATCTGATGCCAGCTCCCCTCTCTGTAATAAAACAACCTTGATACAAAATACACCAACACAAAAACTTTCTGTAATAAAATACTGAAAATTACTTTTGTGAATACCATTTTTCAAGAGCACCCCAGTACCTCTGAAAGACATATTAAAAAAACACATGATTTTCAAACGCTGATCGAGAAATTAATTTACATTTGCAACTGATCTATTGAAGACCTGGGTTTTTCAAGACCCTATAATTGTTAACTGAAGCAACATGGTCGCCGTCTAGATTTAATTTTGGATGAGAGGGATTAGAATTCGTGATTGACACAAAAAGGTGATTTACAGTAATAACAACAAAATGGAGCTGGCATTATCAGGGTTCTTCCCGAAAATACCTACTTGACCCCAAGGCCCAAGTTGCTCAATGCTTGCATAGAGATAATAAATAATACCAAACCATTCTTATCATTTTACAGATTTAGATATGTGGAGAAATATCAGATTGATATTTTTAGCGTAAGTTTTAATTTGAAAGTCATTGATTTTGCAGTCATGTCAATTTTCAGAATAAAATACACTGACCACTGTTTTTCTCTAACTAAGCTTTGAAAAACTAAAACTAAAAACAAAATATATCACTTTTATTTATAGTTTGGTTCTCTGTCTATTACTTCTAAACAAAGTCTAGAGTCCTTGGGTGGGACAGACATTTTAATGGAATAGTCCTAAACAAAACCTGGAGTCCTGGGGTGGGATAGATATTTTAGCTAATTAGTTCTGAACAAAACCTGGAGACCTGAGGTAGGACAGATGTTTTACTGGAATAGGCCTAAACAAAACCTGAAGTCCTGAGGTAGGACAGATGTTTTACTGGAATAGGCCTAACGAAAACCTGGAGACCTGAGGTAGGACAGATGTTTTACTGGAATAGCCCTAAACAAAACCTGAAGTCCTGAGGTAGGACAGATGTTTTACTGGAATAGGCCTAACGAAAACCTGGAGACCTGAGGTAGGACAGATGTTTTACTGGAATAGCCCTAAACAAAACCTGAAGTCCTGAGGTAGGACAGATGTTTTACTGGAATAGCCCTAAACAAAACCTGAAGTCCTGAGGTAGGACAGATGTTTCGCTGGAATAGGCCTAACGAAAACCTGGAGACCTGAGGCAGAACAGATGTTTTACTGGAATAGGCCTAAACAAAACCTGAAGTCCTGAGGTAGGACAGATGTTTTACTGAATAGGCCTAAACAAAACCTGGAGACCTGAGGTAGGACAGATGTTTTACCAAACAGCTCTAAAGAAAACCTGAATCCTAGGATTGGACATATGTTTTACTGAATAGGCCTAAACAAAACCTGAAGTCCTGAGGTAGGACAGGTGTTTTAATGAATAGGCCTAAACAAAACCTGGAGACCTGAGGTAGGACAGGTGTTTCGCTGAATAGGCCTAAACAAAACCTGGAGACCTGAGGTAGGACAGATGTTTTACCAAACAGCTCTAAAGAAAACCTGAATCCTAGGATTGGACATATGTTTTACTGAATAGGCCTAAACAAAACCTGAAGTCCTGAGGTAGGACAGGTGTTTTAATGAATAGGCCTAAACAAAACCTGGAGACCTGAGGTAGGACAGGTGTTTCGCTGAATAGGCCTAAACAAAACCTGGAGACCTGAGGTAGGACAGATGTTTTACCAAACAGCTCTAAAGAAAACCTGAATCCTAGGATTGGACATATGTTTTACTGAATAGGCCTAAACAAAACCTGAAGTCCTGAGGTAGGACAGGTGTTTTAATGAATAGGCCTAAACAAAACCTGGAGACCTGAGGTAGGACAGATGTTTTACCAAACAGCTCTAAAGATAACCTGAATCCTGGGATTGGACATATGTTTTACTGAATAGGCCTGAACAAAACCTGAAGTCCTGAGGTAGGACATATGTTTTACTGAATAGGCCTAAACAAAACCTGGAGACCTGAGGTAGGACAGATGTTTTACTGAATAGGCCTAAACAAAACCTGGAGACCTGAGGTAGGACAGATGTTTTACCAAACAGCTCTAAAGAAAACCTGAATCCTGGGATTGGACATATGTTTTACTGAATAGGCCTAAACAAAACCTGAAGTCCTGAGGTAGGACAGATGTTTTACTGAATAGGCCTAAACAAAACCTGGAGACCTGAGGTAGGACAGATGTTTTACTGGAATAGCCCTAAACAAAACCTGAATCCTGGGATTGGACATATGTTTTACTGAATAGGCCTAAACAAAACCTGAAGTCCTGAGGTAGGACAGATGTTTTACTGAATAGCCCTAAACAAAACCTGGAGACCTGAGGTAGGACAGATGTTTTACTGAATAGCCCTAAACAAAACCTGGAGACCTGAGGTAGGACAGATGTTTTACTGGAATAGCCCTAAACAAAAGCTGAAGTCCTGAGGTAGGACAGATGTTTTACTGGAATAGCCCTAAACAAAACCTGAAGTCCTGAGGTAGGACAGGTGTTTTAATGAATAGGCCTAAACAAAACCTGGAGACCTGAGGTAGGACAGATGTTTTACCAAACAGCTCTAAAGAAAACCTGAATCCTGGGATTGGACATATGTTTTACTGAATAGGCCTAAACAAAACCTGGAGACCTGAGGTAGGACAGATGTTTTACCAAACAGCTCTAAAGAAAACCTGAATCCTGGGATTGGACATATGTTTTACTGAATAGGCCTAAACAAAACCTGAAGTCCTGAGGTAGGACAGGTGTTTTAATGAATAGGCCTAAACAAAACCTGGAGACCTGAGGTAGGACAGATGTTTTACCAAACAGCTCTAAAGAAAACCTGAATCCTGGGATTGGACATATGTTTTACTGAATAGCCTAAACAAAACCTGAAGTCCTGAGGTAAGACAGGTGTTTTAATGAATAGGTCTAAAGGAAACCTGCAGTCCTGGGTTAGGACAGATGATTTATTGGAATAGACCTAAGTACATATCATATATAATGTGACAATTCATAATGGTGGATACAGAACCAGTGTAAAGTGTTCTGTGATAGGTGTGGTCTACTCTCAAAAATTCACATCATGAAACACATCCATATTGGAACTAGACTAATACTTTGTCTAATGCTGTAATGCACAGTCACACGTCACCTTTTCGACAAGTTGAGATGCACTACTTAACTAGTAGCTGTCAACTACATCCACAGCAGATACAATGATTTAATGATAAACTTGTCCCAAAGATCAGGCATCACCACAATACTGATCAATATACTGACCTATCTTGTGGTTTCTTACTAGTTGAAGTGATTTTAGTCGATCATCTGACTTATCTTTGCTAGCATGGCGAAATAAAACTATCTAAACATGATGCTGGCTCTAACTTTAATTAGGTTTGATAACAATGTGACCTACCACAGCACGTTTGGTGGGGTCAACTCCCTCCTCTAGAAGAACGTATACCATTTCCTCGTTGTTGCGATCAACTGCCCAATGTAGTGCTGTCCAGCCATTCTGAAAGGAGACATAACTAAGATGCAACAGTATTACACTAAAAGACATCATGACAGTTTCCAGTATAGTTCTGGAGTGGATGGGGGAGGATGACCTTGAAGAGCAGATTTGCTCTTTGTTACTGCCAAAATGCATCCAGCCCCTCTCCTTCAACAACCTTAAACAAGGGGCCCAAAACAGTCACACACACCATCATCAAAAATTATCCTAAAAAAGGATTGATAACTACTTCCAATAGCAGCCTGCCCTTCTGCTCTTCATTTATTAAATTAAGTTCCTTTCACACAAGGATACACCAGACCAAAATTCCTTTCTTATTTTAAGAAAAATCAATTTAAATAATGTTTTGTTTAAATTTTCAATTACTAGATACCATTCCAATGAGCTCCAGGGAAAATGCCCAACATTTAAACAGAAATTGACTCAAATTTGAATTTGTTCTGCACCTATATTGGGCTGCCAAAAGGGGTCCACAACCAGTGATTTGTAAAAATTCTCTTACAGCTGAAAGTGTTTCATGATTAAAACATTTAATCTAGATACATCTTAGTAATCTAGATGAAAACACTTTAACTGTAAAAATCATACATTTTTGTGGCTTTATAAAAAAATTTCTATTTCATGCGGAATTTGTGGATAAATTTAAATCAATAAAACTGCTTATACTAATTTCAACAGTTCGTGAACATATGAATTTGTTTATTTAAAGTACTCAAAAGAATGAAAACAAAACCCTCATGAATATTTATAATATCACAGAATATCTTTTATAGAAGAAAACTTGCAGAATTTTAAAGAATATCAATAGATTTTTGTTTATTCTATTGGGCCCCGTACCTTGAGCTCTGGGGTTCTTAACCCATCTTTCTGTAAAATTTATTTATTTACTCAAGGACGTTTCAGTATATATTTGGACAAAGTTACTAGTTGTACTATAAACATCCCTACCGTTCCAAAGGCATTTATATCACAGCCACTGTTTATGAACGCTAAGGCCACTTCAGGATGATTGTGGTAGGCAGCAAACATCAGACCTGTGAAATCCGCCTGTACAAAAAGTGCACAAGATCTTAATTTTCTACATCAGGTTAGAATGACTAGATAAAAATGTATCTATTACATGGAGAGAAACATATTCATATTATGATTATTTAGGCTAATCATTGATCTACATAAGCAACCTAATGAGAAATGAAAAAAAATCTCATAAAATCAAAATGAAATGAAAAAGTTAAAATTTAAAATATTTTAAATCATCAATAGGGTTTTTAAACACTGTCAATATTTTTGCCTTACATGTATTCTGAACACATAGAGAGAGGAATATATTGTTAGTTACAACCAACGTCAATAATTTCTTCCATACATATTACATTCACCTTATATGTATCCAAACACGTACTGATAAGAATAACTCACGTTAATCATTAGCTTCAAGGTGTATGTGATGCTTCAATTTCTATCAAGCTATTCAATCAATACTGATGTTTTTAATTCAATAACACTAAATCTAATCGAAATCTACTGTCTTGCAATATGTAGTAGTCCTGTCTAGAATAAATACAATGTCTATATATGTAAAAACACCCACTTTTCAAAAAATTTATATAAGTGTTTGAAAATTCTAAAATTGCAAGATTTCAAATTCATAAGCATGGTTTATCAGCAAAATATTATGTAATATAATTTTTAATGAATTTCTTAAAAATCAGCTTTAAGTTTGAAGTTTGGTACAAACCTCTCCTAAATCACTACTTTTGGCATTAACATCAGAACCTGCATCGATCAGAATGGTAGCAATCCCCCCAAGCCTTTCCTCATGGTAGTCCTGAGATCGAGCAGTTTCGTGAAGTGCTGTTCGTTCATCCTTTGAGAATGAAAAAGAGACAATTAATCAATCTACATGCTTGTTCTGAGTCCTGTTCTACTGAAATTTTCATTGGACTCATTGAATTACTGGAAATATTTTAATTTTCTATTATTTTTGACAATAAATTTGAAATGGGCTCATGAAAATAAATTGTTGTTCGATCCCTGAGAGTCCAAAAACTTCAACCCCAAAATATAATCAATTTCTTTTCAAACGCATTTCTCAGACACTGCCGACTTTGAAACAAAAAATGCCTGTATATTCACACAAATGTACTAGTTATTCTTCAAAGCCAACAAATGTTTTTGTGGTATTACCACCAAATTCCTGCCGAACCAAAATTAAAAATTTGGGTCACTTTTTGCCCCAACCTCATGGTAATTGTCAAATCCTACCTTGTTTTTGGTGTTGACATCAGCTCCTTGTTTAACTAATACTCGTACAGCCTCCAGGTGGCCCCAATAAGCTGCACAATGTAGAGGAGTCCAGCCATTCTGTAATTAACACACAATGATTAAACACAGATTGATTTTCAATTAAACTTTCCATCACATAGCAATATTTATCAGTCAGGTCAATAAATCAATACAGGGGTGGTGGCACAACGTCCTGAAGAGTAAATTTCTGTGGAAATCCTGATGAACTAGCCATGGATCTAATAGTACACACAAGGTCTCACTAAACATCCGGGTAATGAGTACAAAGGTGTGAGTCCAACATGGTAGTTTTTCCGTATACTGGATGTTTATTGCGGAGCATTGGAATATCACTTTCACTATAAGCTTTACCTGAATAAACTGGCTTATTATGATTATAACCTACAACTTTAAATATTATCACTCATTATGCAGTTACTCTGCACTTCATATCAACTTATAATGTCTACTATAGCCGCTGTATATATTGTTTACCCATTGTTCAATGTAATTATTGAATTATGACATCACAACTTTTGCTTGCTTACACATGTATCCATGACGTCACAATACACTGCCTAGAGTTGTTGTTCTGATGACAGCTCACCTAGAGCCAAAACAAGTTAACAACGCTCCGCAATAATTATAAATTACACAGAAGAACTGCCGTCTTGGACTCACTCCTTTGTACTCAAAGTTCAATAAATGTAATGAGGGATCAAATTCCCAAAGTATATGGGAGCATGAAAAATATAGCAAAATTACAGCCTGCACACCAAAATTTTTGGCAAACATAAAAGATCCTACAAAAATTACAGCCTGCAAAGCAACAGGTTACCTTCCTAAACCTAACAAATGAACCACAACACACATATGAACTTCTCAGGATGTTGGTCCATGGGGAATTTCCCTATCTGAAGATTCTTTTAGTCTGGTTTTATATCATTACAACTAGTGCAACCCTGATAAATTACTTTCCTTGGGTGCACATTGTTTCAGTTCCCAAATGGACAATTCTAAAGTCTATCCAAAGGGAAACCATTAAATTTTAGAACTTTTGTTTTAACTGACAATTCCTCTGTAGACAATGTCAATAGCTGTAGCAATAATATAATATTTAAAACCAACTAAAATTGATGATAATATTTTCTGTCAGACCTTGTCTTGTGTGTTGATCTCTGAACCAGCAGCTATCAGACTTTCTATGATATCAGAGTGACCTTTCATGGCAGCATGATGAATTGGCAGGTTTCCTCTCTATAAATAAAACAATCAAGCTCTGTTTCTTAAGAATATTTTTCCTCAATTTCTTCATTTCACAAATCACATATCATATACCATTACTATTTTTATACACCAAATTTAAATTATCACTACTTTTTACGATCTTTCACAAATTCTACACGTTTTACAGAAATACAGACTTACATTATCTTTAACAGACGACATCTGCTATAGAGTTATATTTTCTTCCATAAATAATATTTATCTAACTATCAGACTTATATCATCTTTCACAAATTTTCTTATATATATCTGACGTTCAGACTTTTTCAAATTGTATATGTATAAGACCTTCAAACTTTCAGAATTCCATGATTTGTCATAGGTAATATGCACATTTACATCATCTATTATAAATAACACCTGACTTACATTATCTTTCACATTTACATTACAGTTTGCATCCAGCAACATCTGCACAATGGCTGGCTTTCCTTGGGAAGCTACATGGATTGGACAGCAGTCATGCTGAAAAGTCAGCGGAGCAAATAACATCAACATACTGCTGGCTTTCCTTGGGAAGCTACATGGATTGGACAGCAGTCATGCTGAAAAGTCAGCGGAGCAAATAACATCAACATACTGTTGAATCCTATAATAGCAGGGACTCAAATAATTTATTGTTCTATTCTTAAACAATCATTCTTATGATACTTTATTTTGTCATTAGAATGTTTCAATAAGAATCCATCAAAATCCAATAGGATTTAGTCTGCTAATTATAACTGGTTTTTAAATTGACTTGAAAACATAAAGATCCAATCTATAAATTATAGCTAGATTTACATGGAATTAATTTTAACATTAAAAGATAAAAACAAAAACCAAAAAAAAAAACATAATCCACCAATATCTCTCATATCAATCATGAAATAAGCCCTTGGAATTTCAAAGTACAGGCTTATAACAGGACAAAGATGTGGCATTGTTTGGTTATTCTACAGCAAATCATTACATATGACTGGACTTTATAACATACATTTACAGAAGCACAGTAGCTATACTAATAGATAAATGAAAACTTACTGTATACGAGACCCAATTTACATCTATGTCACCCTCCGAGAGAAATTTCTGCACTCTATCTGTATGACCGAATCCACAGGCTTCCCAAAATGCCTCCTGTTTGGATGCTGCTTGCCCCATGATGAATACTTTTCAGCACTACAAGTGGATCATGTTTTGTAATCTTCTTACATGGTCGATGGATCAGAATCTGGTCACAATTCAAAAAGAACATTTGAAATGTGCATAACAAGCACACATGTAAACTATAAAGAGAACATCTGGACCTTAGTCAAACAAGGGGTCCAAAGAGCCTGTATTACCGTCTACTTCCCCAGTTTTTATCTACTGCAATGCACGTATGCAACATTTATTAAAATAGGATCTTTCCAAGACAAAGAGTAAGAAAAACTTTGCAAAAAAGTTTTACATGCAAGCCTTACCAACAGAAACCACTGTTAAATGCTTAATTACTGTGTAAAATTAAAGGGATATGTGTACATGGATTTAGTAGTCTTTCATAAACATTTATTACCATATATTACCAGACAATTAATGTCTTATTGACAGCTGAGGTTAGTACCTTAACCTATTTTGAATTCCTCCTTGGAAGACGAGTGATATTGTCAAATGTCTGATATAAAAGATTCCAAATTGAGGAATTCCAAAAAGGATTAGCTAGTACCTATGTATTGGTCTATATAAGGAGTGTAATATTTACAATAAAATACACTGACTGGGGTACTCTGTACTTCAACAATGCCAGAGGTTCAACATGGAGAGTGTCCAGGTGACAAAGCTTCTACCAGGTTTGAAAAATATGGTATATGAGGATAGAATGAGATACTTAGATTTGCCATAACTGAAATATTGAAGGGACAATTGAGACATGGTTGAAGTGTACAAAATACTGAATGGACTTTATGACAAGTATGCAGCATAAAACTTATTAAGAGTGAACCAGAAAAATGTACTCCAGGGAACTCACTATCACTTGAGAAATACAGATGTTGACTGCACATCAGAAAATATTTACACAGAGAGTTGTGAATAACTGGAATTCATTGCCAGAAAAAGTGGTCTGATCGCCAGCCCTAAATACATCTGCGAATCGATTGGACAAGTTCTGGGAATCAGAAGGCAGAATGTCCAGGGTAGTGGACAGCCAACCGAACATTACATCGAATAGGAGTGACTACATGAATAACTTAGCAATACAAAATTTCTGAGTATAGAGGCCTAATTAAGGTCTACATTCAGAAATCGACTTAGTAAGTAAGATGACGAGGAACATATTTTAACAGACGCCTTGTCGCATATCCGCCAATACAATCATGCAGATTGAGAACTGTCATGCACGGGCCTATACTGGATACTCGGTAGAATCTTATTTCTCTTTCCTATTGTATCAGTAAATTATCTATTGTTTGTATTAACTATACAATGTAACGTTATTATCAGTGAGATAACGCCACGTGAAAGATGTAAAACTGCAAAATGATACTTACTCAGTGGGGAAGCAGACAGTCTGAGGCGACAAATACCGGAAGTAGCCTCATAGTATACTAAAATAAAAACCCGATCCGGACAGATCCAGGAGGATTTCCTTAGTATCATTGTATCTTTGTATATATTTATCTTATACTTTATTTTATTTTTGATTGAACAATGACCAATCTCGTAACATTTATAAACGGAATTCAAAATTATTCCACTAACTTTATCCAACAAACTGAGTATTAACATTAATCGAATATAACTTGTTTGAAGATCTTACCACCAAACTCGACGAAGATGTTGTCAACCGGAAACTCAATCATTTCTAGGATTTTGTCCTCCGTATATTCCTTCTTTGATTTGGACGCATCTTTAAATATTATGAAATACGCTTGTATTTATACCACTGTTCACCTTTCCTGGGAAAGAAAACTCTGTTAACAAGAGAACGAAGGCGTTCTTTCGGTTTAGAATGGGGTATGGTGATGTACAGGGTGAAAAAATTGAACATTCTAATAGAATATTTTGAAAATACTGTCTGTTTTTAACCAATAAATAATTTTATGAGTTTTATCCTGTAAAATACAGGTATCTTATCATTATACTTATATTTATACATATACACCTTGTTAGACGTATTTAATATTTTGATTATGATTGTCATATGTAACATTTTGATGTTGGTGTTGTTTTTATTATACATTGTATGACATAATTAACATTGTGTTGTTTTTGTTGATATATGTACAATGTAAATACATGTTTACTATTTATGATTCATACATATATCACCATGTTTGATTGCTTTAGTGAAATTTTCTACATTGTAAATAAACATATTTCTAATTTCTACTTTCTCTGTTATATATCTTCTACGATTGTATTTTCTCAGGGATACTGTATTTGTAGTTCTGGGAGGGAAAAAGGATACAAATCCCAAAAGTTATTATTTTCCATTGACCTACATTACATTTACACCTTGTTATTTACTTTGATTATCGTCCTTTGGTTTTTTCGTTGTTTTTCCTCCAGCCTCCAGCATTTCTGTCGGAGGTGGTGGTGTACGCACCTCTTCGGCCATCTGTCTCTATGTACGAGACATTGACGGAGTTCCTGGTCTAGAAACTTGTTGAGGGTGGTCATGGTGCTGGTTTTAGTGCCTCTCTTAGTGTCCTTTTTGTGAATCCTGTGTTTCTTTTTCTTAGATGACTGTTCACTGCCAGATGGTGTCTTAACAAGACGTTCTTTTTGTTCAGCAACTTAAGTGATGGGTTCAGTTTCTGTTTCATGGTCAGTGATCATGGCATTCTCATCACCCGAATTTCATCTGAACTTGAAGAGTCCTGTTCTGATGATGAATTCACTTCTTCGTTGAGGAATACCGACTCTTCTGACCACCCTTGTCTACATTCTGAAACTATGTACTTTACGGTTGAAAGATAATTGAACTAGAGTTACCACATGGAAATTTATTTTCTATTTACATTGACTATTGACCTTTGACCTCGATATGAAGGTCAGTGACTTTTCGGTAGTGCTTTATACATCTCCCTCAGTGATAAAGACATCTTTTATGGTTTAGGAGTTATGGCTCAAACACAATATTCATGACCTTTGACCACAAGGTCAAGGTCAACGTCACAGTATTGACCTTTCAGTAGCACTGCATATCTCCTTCAGGTGATGCAACTACAAACCAAGTTTTATGAAGATATCTTTTACAGTTTAGGAATTATGGCCTAGGCAAAATATACAAGTGTGTTCAAACATTGAGTTTTTTGAAAATATTTATAAAATTATTCAAATAATGAAAAGATATATATTGTGAATTTTTGTTGATCCTACAAGAATTTGTTACCAATACAGTTAAGCAATATTTCTCTCTGTATAAATCGTTGAATAAAGTTAACCTGACATAATAATAACACCAATGCATATACTCTTGTCCACTTGAGTTTAAAACAGAAATTTCTTGTTTCCCGACAAAGAAATCTACAGCAACAGTCACTCTGAGTTTGCTCCATATACCAGTCTACAGTAACTCATTGAGATATTGATTAAATTTGTTACTTACAAAATAAGAACAAAAACATGAATTAATATCATATGATTTATCTGGTATTAAATACATGTAATAAAAAGTAACATCAAATGTGTTTACAAACAAAAAGTCAAAATTACCATATGGTTTCTAATTGCTCACCTGCAATGCAGTGTTAAAAAGGAAAAGCTGAAACAGTATATATATATATATTGGCTCAAATTTTATAGCATCCCAGTATGCCACAGACAAAACAAACATCATGGGTCTTCAGATTTTCAAAATGTGACTTGGAAATTTAGACAATTTGACCTAAATAATCTAAAAAGCAATTGAAGGTCATTTCTTTGTGGTAACAAACATAAAATGACTCAATTACAGTATGTTATGTACAAAAAGACTTGAATCAGGTATCTTTGTGTTATTGAAGATGAATGGAGATCTCAAAACTGACACAGACAGATGGATGCCACAGCACAGTATAGATTCATTTGTCCTTCAGGAATCAGCCAAACTAAGTCACAAAATTAATGTTACTAGAATACTGAGGCAAGAACTGTGCCAAATTTGACAATAAATCAACATATTTTAAAACTGTTCATGAACACTATTAATAATTCTGTTTTTAAAAAAATTCAATGTTCATTCTTTATCAAAAACGTCTTCTGAACATCCCACTATATCATATCACAAATCCGGGTTATGAAACAGGCCAAGATAAGATTTACTTCAGTCTACTTTTCTGTTGCTTTACGAGCTCAGACATTGGGGGAGGTGGTACTGGAGCTGTGGTCTTCGCAACCCGTCTTGGGTCCTTTGGTGCCATAGTTGGTCCTTCCTTCATCCCAACTCGATCTGCCAAACGGTTCTCCACTACAGATTCTAAAAGTCCTTCAAGATGAGTGTATGATTTCTCTTCCTTGACGGCATTTGCAGCCCACCTGCCAGACTTTTTATTGAAATTTCTGTGGTACCTGCAAATAGATTGTAATACCGTTGGTTGGTAATGTTAAATCCAGAAGTTCAGAGATGAACTGTATTTTTCTATTGTTCTAGTACTTCAGTCTAAAATGCATCTACTATGACATAACCCAGTGAACATGTACATTTCTCTACACCGAGTTAAATACTTTGATATGTATTACCATGATATGTAATCTACTTGTTCAAGACACAACTCTTTACCAAGGGAGCATTATCATATGTCACAATGTAATCTATTGGCGTGCGTTTTATATTCTACATCAATTTCTTTTCCAGAAGTGCTGGTGCAATACTGATCCGAGTCCTCGCCGATTGCCATATCTTATAGCATGTATAGCATTGCAAGGCTCATTGTTCTAGATATTGTAAACTTTTACTCAATTTCATATGGCACAAAGTTCTACAGCTGCAAACCAAATCAGAAGATACCTTATTGTGCCGTCTTCATATCTTTTCATGCCTCTGTCCACATTTTCATTATAGTCCAGAGCAGCCATAAGGATCCTGGCATGGTAGACACGTGGCACATACGAGTATCGTGTGGCACAATACATCAAAACAAGCTGATGAAAATTTTCAAGCTCTGAAGTACTCCTGTGGAGTGAAAAAAAGTATGTGTGCAAATTGGAAACCATGACTTCTGGTCAAACGTTCATACAATAGATGTACATAAACAAGAATTTCATAGAAAAGTGTCGCGTGCCTAGGACAAAAATCTATTTATACTAACATTGACCTTGACCTTTGACCTTGAAAAGCAATCCTAAGCAGTTACTTTTGGTGAGGAATCACTGTAAGGAGTTTGAAGTTGATCGGCCAAAGGGAACTCAAGTTATCGTTAATAAATCTTAGTGCAGACGCCAAAATCACCATACCTATATGTCGACCTTTGCAGGCGACACAAAATATGATTGCAAATCTCATTTGAAGAGTGTGCTTCAAAAATTATAGATCTGCACTCTGACTTTTAGAGCAAGTGAATTATCGCCCCACATGGTCATGACAATTTTTCTCATAAAGCAGCACAAATATCTGATACTGTGACATTGATAGAGGGCCAACGTCCGCCATTTGAACAAACCTGGCGAAGCTTCATTACAACATGCTACAGTCAAATATCTAGCTTGTTAAATGCAACATAGAATCCTAGGCCTTCAGGTTTAATCTATAGACGGCACATGAAGGACGAAGCAGAAAATATGGACTCTTGGTCATCTCGACCCGTTGTTACCACATAATGCTATGTCAACTAAACTACACGTCATTGTTAATATTACATATGCACAATCAGTTGTCCTAATGCTACAATCACTACTTATTTTTTTTTTTTTTGCTAGTTTGAAACACAAATACCTCACATTATGTTTTGAAGTGAAAACCTACCTGAAGTTTAAGTAGTAAGGCACTTGATGAAGAAACCTAGTATCCAATACAATCCTTCTGAGTACATTGTGAGCTGCACTTCCCTTTTCTAACCATTCCTGGTCTCGGTCTGCTTCGGCTATTTGTCCGTGACTGCATTGACCAAAAGCCTGATTTGCCATAAGCCAAGGCTCACTTATATTCGTTAACACAATGATGTAGAGTAGCTCTCCATCGTTCCTGAAGAATGTTGCAAGTATTATTGTCAGTTATCAATCATGATTTTTTAAGAAAAGGAGGTTCATAAATTTCTTTCCCAATTAAATATATAGCTTTATAACAGTATATTTTGTTTTATTTTCCCCCTTAATGATAACTTTCCACAAAATGTGTACATTATATAATACATATTGACTCTTTATCTACTTATATAACATATTTGTACTATCAATAAAATGGCTGACTAATACACCTGCAATCAAATAGGAGACATAATTTATTAGTACTTAAGATTGAATACTAAGATTGAATACTATATAATTTCTCAGCAAGAACTTACCCATGTGAGGTAGACAGCAGATCCTTTTTGGAAATGAATTGTTTCCACCAATTCTTTGCAATTTTTCATGTTGCATTTTACATCTATTTTGGTTTGAGCTAGTGCTGTAAG